TAAGTATCTCTTCCTTACCTAGCACTGCATAATTTTTTTAAATCACAGTTTATCAGAAGTAGACACTTCTGATTTATCTACTACCTGGGATTACTGAACAGGCTCCGGCTTCCTCTTCAGTGGCAGAAGGCAGAGTTCAGTGTGTGTACGTATCTTTAAACGTCCCACAGACACACCCGTTTTTATTAGTGAGCCCGTGACCTGGCAGGGCAGCAGACAGCACTGATGACAGTGGACCTGGGACCTGTTCCGTCACTGTTCTCTGTCCCACCGGGGTGAAGCATTGCCAGAGAGAGCTGGTGAGCCAGGACGGGTTCCTTGGTGAGAGGAGGCCGTCATCCTGCCCGTGTGCGCCGCCCCACCCCCAGGCTCCTGCTTTCTCAAAGTGCCAACTGGGATGTGGGGATGGCGGGGCCAGTTTCTGGGCCTGAGCCTTCACTGTCACCTGGAACTGCCACTTGAGGGTGTGTCGGTGGCTGTTCTGTCCCCCTCGCTGAGAGTGGCCCGCCCTTGCTGCCTGTGATCTGGACACAGAACGCTGGGACTCTGGGTCAGGAGTCCATGCTGGTGGTGAATACACACTACTGGGAAATGACTGGTCCTGTGTGTGTGAAGGGAAGTGGACATGTGCAACTGTCCCTTTAAAGCCGCACTGCAGTCACTTAGCTCAGCCAGACACAGACAGCATTTGTCAGGTTACCAGGCAACTGTGCGCAACAAACACTTGTGAGTCTGGGAGGAAGGGGTGAACAAATCAGACTTTTCCTAAATATCCTCACCCCTTTCCATAATAAGAGCCTGTCGCCATGTGCTGTCATGTCCTGGGCCGCCGCAGTCATCCTGAGTCATGTATCACTTTCCACCGTGGCCAAGCGCTCTGGGGCCAGGCTGCCCAAGAACTGGCGTGTGACCATGGTAATGTATACCCTCTTACCCTCAGTTTGCCTGTCTCTAAAGTGGGGACAATCACAGTTCCAGTCTCTCAGAGGATGACACAATGCAAAGGTGGTCAGGTTCTTAGTACACAGCCTGACAGATGTAAGTGCTCAGCAAACACTGCCTGTCCTTATTCCCTGTGCTGGGGGTTTTCCAGCCAACCCTTCACGGGGCAGACTCCTGACACCTGCCCTTCAGTGACCGCAGAGAGATACACACGTGCCTTCCTTACTGTCCGGAGTCTGCCCTGGAAGGGAAGTAGCAAGGGGGGGTCCGTTCAGTTGCCTGGGCTCAGCCCCCTGAGCCCACTCACCTACACGGGTCTCCCGCCGTGGGCGTCCCGGTGGGGGCGGGGGTGCTTTCCTCCCCTGCTGCCCTCCCGGTAACAGAGACGCCGGTGCAGAGCCGGGCTGCCTGGCTCCTTGCCTCTTTCAGGACCCGTCCTGGATCTCTCCAAAGGCTATTTCTTGTTTCTTCCTCCTTCTGGTCAGCTCCATAAAGTGTCCCCAACCCTGTCACTGTGTGACCTGGTGGAGGCAGCAGCTACCGACAGGCCCTTCTGGTCGTGGCCGAGCTCAGTGCTTTTTGAGGCGGCTCCATTTTTTATATTCCGAGTGGGGTTTAGTGTGTCGTGCCAGTTGGGGTGCATCCACGGAAGGTTCCCTCCATCTTCCATTTGGACACGTAAAATTCTTCATATTCTTCATGTTTTGGATGGACCTTGAGGGCATTATGCCAAGTGAACTAAATCTTCAGAGAAAGACAAATACTAATGTGATCTCACTTATATGTAGAATCTGAAAAAAAACAACAATCCCCCCAAACAAGCTTGATGTAAACAGTAGATTGATGGTTTCCAAGGGCCGGGGTGGGGGGCGTGTGCAGATGTTGGTCACAGGGTAAAACTTCAGTGATAAGACGAACACGTCCGGGCACCTATGTGCAGCGAGGAGCTCCAGTTAACTGTACTGTAGGATGCGCTTGAAAGTTGCTAGGAGAACACCTAGGCCTTCAACACCTAGGCTCTTCCCCCAGGAAGGAAATGGTCATTGCAGGAGGTGGTGGAGGTGTTAACCAGCCCAGCTGCGGTCATCCTGTGCAGTGTGTAAGTGCATTCCATCACTGCATTGTACAGCTTAAACTTACACAGTGCTCCCTGTCCGTGATATTTCTGTGAACTTGGGAAAACAGACTCCTCCTGTTCTTTTTTAAAAATAGATTTTTTTGAAGTGGAATTCAAATACCATCCAGTTCGCCCATCGAAGGCGTCAGTGCAGTAGTTTTGAGTGTATTTATAGAGTTGAGCCTCCGTCAGCACAATATGAGAGCACTGCCCCCCTGTTAGGCGGCACCCCTCAGTGCCCTCACCCCACCCCCAAAACCTAGGCAAGGACTGATCCACTTTCTATCCGTACATTTGTCTCCTGGATAGTTTATAGAGACAGAGTCGACCGTACTTGGGGCCTTTTGTGTCTGGCTTCTTTCTTGTACTTGGCATCTGGCGTCCAGGTGCATCTGTGTTGAGCAGGGTCAGGACTTCCTTCTTCTCGATGGCTGCGTGATGTTCTGTTATGTGACGATACCACGTCCTGCTTCTCCGTGTGTCAGGGGTGGTTCTTTGTGTTCTGCTTGCTGCCTCAAGCCCCAGCTCTCTGCCTGAGATTGCCTTTCCATTCCCAGTTATTGTTTGATGAGGAGAGATGTTTTTATCATTTTTTATCAGCCCCAAATTATTTCTTGGTTTGCATAGGAATGTAATTGCCTGCTCAGACATTATGTTCTGAGTACTGTAATAAAATTAAAGGGTGGTACTTCATTTTAGCAGAGGTTCACAGCAGGCAAGGACGCTTCCTTCTTACCAGGAACTGACTGTGGATCAGGTGGCAGTGAATGACACCCTTTAACCCTCATTTAAGGGTGTCACCTCGTTTAAATGACACCTCATTTAACCCTTTCCTGCTGGGAGCTGCGTCCCTCCCGCCCTGCCCCGGGCATATGGTCTACCCAGGCCTGGTGGGTCGCCCACAGAGATGCTGCCAGTTAGACCCAGCTGGGTCTTTTGTGTTTCCCAAATTTCTCTGAAGGCCTGTAAATGTCTTTCAGTTTCTCTCCTGTTGACTGTAGCATGAGGTCAGACAAAATAAACGAGATTCGGCAGGTTAAGCAGCAGCCCCAGGTGCCAGGGTGGTGCTGGAATGAATTGTCCAGCTTGGAATCTGATGTGCCAGTAGGTGAGCGTCCTGTGTGCAGTGCTGAGTCGCGTTGCCCGGGTTTGTGTTGTGGGACTTCCGGTGCCGACTGGGGACCTTGTATGGCACCCCCTTCAGTGGCAGCCCTGAGGAATCGCTTCTCGACAACCTCACTGGCTCGGTGAATTGGCCCCTCCCTCCTGACCGCTGGCTAAATTCTGCTCCGGGATGTCGGAGCCAGTTATGGATGAAGGCACGTTAGCATGCCGTAACGCAACAAGAGAGAAGGCAAAAACACGATCATACACTGCGCTCTGACCATAAAAGGAACGTCAAAATTTAATTGACTTTCATCTTTGAAAGTCGCTAAGAGAGGAGCAACTTAAAAGTTAGCATCTTAAAAGTTCTCATCGCAAGGATGAAAAGTTTCGGAGCTCTGTGGTGAAGGATGTTAACTAGACTCATTGTGGTGATCACTGTGCAGGATCAGCAGATACCAAGTCACTGAGTTGTGTTCTTGCAACTAGTGTGACATTACATGTCAATTACAGCTCAAGTAAAAAACTCATCTCTGCTACAGTGCTCTTTGAGTCTCTCCCCCCAAATTTGTGTGGGACTGTGAAAAAACTTAGGCTTCCTGGTGAGTGGAATTTAGTGAGTGGCTCTCGGGCAGATGACTCCACGTCCCTCCGCTGACATCGTAAGGATGAGACCGCCAAGAGGGTTAGTGTGAGAGCAGGTGAGAGCTTGGGTACTGTGCCCAGGACAGCGAGCCACTCAGTGGGAGCGCCTTCTATAGCTCTTTTCCCCCAAATGATTCTTTAAAATCTTCATTCACACCCAAGGTTTAAAGGGACGCTTTGTAAGGAAACCTTCTGAGGCTTTTCCCACAGGATGGCGCTGCCAGCTCTTGTGGTGCAGGGAGACCATCTTGGTCCCTCTGAGCCCCTCAGACCCCCTCTGAGGCTTTGGGAGCTGCTTGCTAATGTGCCGATGTAATAGACCCCAAGCACCGTGTATACAGCCTTTAGTACGAAGCCCGTTCTCCCAGAGGGGCAGGAAAATTGTTGCAGTGATTATTGGTTTTTGTGCAGATCCTCCTGTTGGAGGACTGGAGCCGTGTACCGAAGGGCCAGAAGTGGATGCTAGCAACTTAAACTGCTGGACGAGTGCCGTAAACACCAAAGCAGACGGTTTGCTTTCCTCCAGTGGCTTTCTTGGCAGAGAATTAAAACAGGAAAAAAAAAAAAAAACGGCTGCAGGATTTAAGAAAACATTGTGGGGTTTGGTGATAATAACTTACGTTGCTATAATGCCCTCCAGCTCGCAGAACGCTTTCCCATTATTATTTCATTGAATTCTCACAAGTCCCAGAGGTAGGTAAGACAATACTGTATTATGGTTAAGGAAATGCTGTCTCTGCCACTCACCCACCACGTGGCTGTGTGGGTTATTTAAGAGCTCTTAAGCTTACTATCCTGAGTTTTAAAATGGGAGTTTAATAATACCTCCCTCTTAGGATTGTTGTACAGATTATAGGAGATAATGCATGCACCAACGCAGCTGTCTAGTAAGTGCTTAATAAATAGCAGCTATGACATTCTTGGGTACAATGATAATGCTCACTTGACAGGTGAGGAAACTAAAAATGCCACTTTGCTGAAGGTCACATCCTCAGTGGTCGGCAGAACCAGAACGTCGGTCTTCATTCTGCCTCCGGCTTTAGTCCCCATCCCACTACACCGCAGCCAAGCCGTGTGACTCAGGAATGATCTGGTGCCTCCGCCAGCACAAGTTCCCCTTCCGTCGCAGCTCAGCCTCGGTTTCTCCGGCGCACTGATTTTTTTTCCATGTCTCCTTTTGTATCATTCACAGAACATCATTAAGAAGGTGATCGGGCAGAAGTTTGTGTACAAGTTTGTCTCCTTCCCGGAGATCCTGAAGATGGACCCTCACGCCGTGGAGATCAGCCGGGAGAGCCTTCTCCTGCAGGACCGGGACTGCAAGGCGGCCCCCGAGGGCCGCGAGGCGCACAGACACGGCCTGTCGGCCCTCAAAGGCACCAGCCGCAACGAATACATCCACTCAGGCCTGTACTCGTCCTTCACCATTAATTCCCTGCAGAACCCACCGGAAGCCTTCAAGGCCATCAAGACGGAGAAGCTGGAGGAGCCACCAGAGGACAGCCCTCCCGTGGAAGAAGTCAGGACTGTCATCAGGTTTGTGACCAATAAAACCGACAAGCACGTCAGCAGGCCCGTGGTGTCCCTGCCCTCCACCTCCGAAGCCTTCCTGGCCTCCTCCGTCTCAGCCAAGATCTCCTCTTTAATGTTGCCGAATGCCGCCAGCATCTCGTCGGCCTCGCCCTCCTCCTCTCGGTCCCCCTCCCTGTCCCCCAACTCGCCCCTCCCTTCCGAACACAGAAGCCTCTTCCTGGAGGCCGCCTGCCATGACTCGGATTCCCTAGAGCCCTTGAACCTGTCATCGGGCTCCAAGACCAGGTCTCCATCTCTTCCCCCAAAGGCCAAAAAGCCCAAAGGCTTGGAAATCTCTGCGCCTCCGCTGGTGCTCTCCGGCACCGACCTCGGCTCCATCGCCCTCAACAGCCCCGCCCTGCCCTCAGGCTCCCTCACCCCAGCCTTCTTCACTGCACAGGTAAGAGCCGCACCCAGACCGAGAGGGGAAGGGACCGCTGCCAGAACACCTTCCTCTGAGCTCGCGAGGGCCGGTGTAGCAAAGTCTCTGTGGGATCGTGAAAGGAAGTTACTCTTCCGCCCCCAGACCCAGGTATCCACAAGAGGAAAGGCAGGATATTGGCCACAGTGGGATGCTTGGTTAGTTTCTGGCTTTCAGTGGCCCGAAGGGATGAAAGGATGGAACATGCATACTGACCATCTGAGCAGACCCAGTGATTTCCTAGGGAGGGTTGGTGGCAGGGGGTACCCAGTGGTGTTTCAGAAGGCATTTGGGCTTTATGGAACTTTCCAGTCCTCTCTGGTGGGAAAATTGATAAAGAGCCATTTGTTTTCTGTTAATAAGAAAATAGGTGTTAACTGATGCAGGCTTTGCAGTTGTCAGTGTGGGCTGTGTTGCCCTGTAGTCCCTAGTAAGAAATAGCTCTGAGGACCATAACAGTCCCGCCAAACACAAGGAAGAGATGCTTCAGTCAAAAGAGCCCCCCTGGGAGGAAGCCGGGTCCCAGTCAGCTCAGGAGAGGAAAGCAAACCCAGGGAGCGTGGAAGTCTTCGGTGCTATTAACTCAAACGACAAGGTAGCCTTTCCTTCCTTCCTTCCTTCCTTCCTTCCTTCCTTCCTTCCTTCCTTCCTTCCTTCCTTCCTTCCTCCCTCCCTCCCTCCCTCCCTCCTTCCTTCCTTCTTCCTTTCTTTCTCTTTCTTCCTCCTTCCCTCCCTCCCTCCCTCCCTCCCTCCCTCCCTCCCTCCCTCCCTTCCCCTCTCCCCTCCTCTCCCCTGCTCTCCTTTCCTCACATGAGGACATTTTTTCATTGCTTTTTTAGGGAGAGAGGAAGGTGGGGGAGAAAGAGGGAGAGAAACATCCATGTGAGAGAGAAACATCACTTTGGTTGTATTCTGGATACACCCCACTGGGAACTGAACCTGCCACCTAAGCATGTGCCCTGACCTGATAAGGAGTAGAACCCAGGACTTGGGTATGTACCCTGACTGGGAATTGAACCTGTGATCTTGCGGTTCACGGGACGGTGCTCCAACCAACTGAGCCACGCCAGCCAGGGCGGCAGCCTTTTTCTTTAAATGTCATATTCAGATGCTCTTTCTTGTCCAGCTGGCACTTACAGGGCCAAAAGGCAAGCACGTGTTTGGGAAACCCTGTTCTGTTTCCTCTGGACAACTGGATGTGTTTTGGCGGCAGCATTATGCTCGTTGACTTTGGGGTCACAGACCTGGATTCAGTTCCTGGCCGTTCCGTTTGGTGGAACGCGGCTGGGCACTTGACCCCTGAGCCTGTCTCCATGCCTGGGAAATGGATTGTGAGGATTCAGTGGGATGAGAGGCCGGCTGAGAGGGCTGTAGCTGCAACCAGCAGGGGTCGTCGCCGGGTGGGGGTGGGCTGGAGGCGGAGGAGCCTGAGTCTGTCTCCTGAGTCTGTGCTCTCCGCCGTGATGTCCTTAGCAGCACTGGCCTATATTGAGGTTTCCCTGTACGGCTGGCGCTCTTCTGGACACTGCATTCCCTTGGTTATGTCTTAGCTCCATGAGGTACATATTGTTATTGCCCCATTTTTCCACCTGAGGTCACTGAGGCACAAGTGCTAAAGTAACTCCAGGTGCTCCAGTTGGTCCGAGGTCGCACAGCTAATAGGTGGTAGAAGCGAATTTGAACCCATTATTTCTTCTCCAGGATTCATGCTCTTAAGGAAAATGCTCTGGGCATTGCTGCTCTCTGGGGAGACGCCTAGCTGTCCTTGGTCGTAAGTCTGCAAAGAGCCGAAAGCAGCTCTTGGCTGTTTTCCTCTCTGGCTTTTCCCTGCAAGTTGGTGGCCCAGGGATTTGGTGTCAGCAGAGCAAACTGTCCAGGGACTGAGGACTGCTGAGTAAATGCCTGAGAACAGTAACACGAGAAGTGGGGCCAGGGTGGACGGTCTAAAGATCCCCTCCCCTGGCCAGCTTTGTGTTTGCCGAGTAAGGTTTAGCGAGGTCTCACGCCAGGCCAGGCCAACTCTGATTTCAGTATCTGCTTTCCCCGAGAGCCTGTTCCACTGTCTCTGAGCCGACTGGGACGGCTGCCAGCCCTGCAGTTGTGCGGGAGGGAATCAGCTCGGGTGAGCTCTGTGGGTTTGGACCTGGGCACAGCGAATTCAGGGTGGCTCTGCTCAGTGGGACTCAGAGGCAGGGATGAGGAGAGGAGGGACCTTGGTGTGAGTTGGGGACACAGGGTGGATGCAAATGAACAGATGCAAATCTCAGAACCTGCTAGAAGCTGCTAGAACTGGCCTACACGCAGGGAGGGGAAAGCCTAGGAAAGCCAGGTGACCCTGTGCCTTGGGCAGATGGGAGTTAATGGACCTCAGCCATCCTGTGAGGGTTCACGCTGGAAGGGAGTTGGTGGCAGGAGTCCCAGAAAGGGGACCAGGGCTTCCCGAAGGAGGGAGGCAAAGGGCCGGGTGTGGACCCAGGACAGAGGAGGGGCAGTGGGGGCCTGGGCTGAGGGGGGGCGCCTCTGGACGGGGGTGGCGTGAGAAGCAAGCACACGACACGATGCTCCGAACAGGCTCAAAGCAGGCCAGGGCTGCCTTTGGGAGATGGCACACTCTCAGGACTTGAGGTGCCCTCACCTTCTAGCAGCGTCCACTCTGTACCTGGCACAGGTGTGGGTGGCCAAGGGTGGCTGACGGGGAGGGAGAGAAGCAGTGAGGGAGAAACCAGAGAGAGCAGAGAAGGGGCAGGACTCGGGCATTGAGGGTGTTCGCCCGGTGGGCCCCCTGAGGTCAGACAGGACGGTCATGTAGTTTCATCTGCTGACAGCGCTTACATCCGATGTTATTTTGTAACAGTTTCAGCTACACAGCCGTGATCAGTCACACTTAGTGGGGTTTTATCCTGAGGGTTTAGGGCAGACCCGGAGTCAGTGTAGGATTCGGGTCCTGAGATTCCATCCCCCCAAAACGGCTGCGTGTGCCCCCGAGCCCGACCCAGTCACAGGTTGCCCTGCAGCGGACACAGCACTGGCTTTCTGAGGAGCCCACCACAGTGCGGGCGGGGCCCCTGAAATTGCCCTCCGGGGACGGGAGTCAGACTTCCCTTTGCTCCCAGGTCGGCTCTGGAGGCCCCCTCTCACGGTAGGGGTTTGGGGTGCTGTTTCCGGGGGCAGCGGCAGCTCACTCCCGCAGCTCCGGTTCCCCTCCCGGCCTAGGCACGGCCTGGCACTGGTGTCACGGAAGCACGGCTCCCTCCTGCTCTGCGTGACTCTGTTTGCGTGTAAGCCTGGCTGCCTGTGGGAACCTCCTGTCGACTTTTCTTAATGGTGGCCTTAGAACAGGTGGAAGCTGGGCTGGAATAACTTCATACCCTGAAAGTAAAATTCCCAAGAATTTAGTTTATTCCAAGAACTGTTTTTTTACATTTTACTTATTTATTCTAAGAATAATTCGCAGTCCTTTTCCAGCTAGAAATGTGGGAGGAGGAAGGGCGGGTGAGCAGAGTCTTGGCACGAGCCGGTGCCCTCTGGGGACCTTACTGGGCCACACACCTCGGATGAGCCCACATTCAGGTTTGACATTTCATCTGCAAAATGACGTGCGGGAAAGTCATCCGCCGCTCCCATCAAACATACTTGTGGTGCGTGTGCTGGGCCCTGGTGAGTCTCGTTGATGAGTTTTGGGGAAACCCGGTTACTAGTGCAGACGGACACGAAGAAGCCCAAAGGCCCCCGAGACCCGGACTGTGAGGAACTGGAAGGTGGACTACAAAGCCAGCTGGGTACCGGGTGGTAAAGCTGGAGTTTAGCTGCCAAGGGGACAACTGCCAGACTCTCAAGGTCATATTGGATGGCTGCTGGAAGAGCAAGGGTGTTGTCTCTGATGGCAGGGGCTGCGGAATTGACACAGGGCAGACGCCAGGATGTGACGCCCTCCGGGGACCGAGCCAGGTGCCACGGCAGCCCGGACGGTGGGGCTGGAACTTCTGATCCTCTGTCCCATCTGTCTTCGGTCCCTCTTCCTTCCCTGCGTCTCTCCTGTTCACTCTCTTCTTCCTCATCTTTTAACAAAGTTCGTTCAGAACCAGAGGCTTTGTGGCCAGACCCCTGTTAACCTCACGTGTGCTGTTTAAGATGCCCGACTCAGGTGTGCACAGGTACTGCGGCACGAACTCGCCATTGAGCACACCTGCCTCGGGCTGATTCTAGTAGCAGCAGCCTTGGCTTAGCACTAATCGAGTGGAGACAGTTTGAGGACTGAAATGCTGAGACCCCTTCCTGCACTTCCCAGTCGACTGAACGTAACCACTCCGAGCCGAAGCCCTAAGGTGGGAACTGAGGAAAACGGAGGGGTGCGTTGAGGCGCAGTCAGGGCGTGCTGCACCCCATCCCAGCTCCGCGGGGTTCCTGTCTTTCTCTCTCTCTTGCCATTATCACAGAAGGAACGAAGCTTGCTCTTTCCTTTGTCTCACTCTTCACACTTCCCCTGCTCCGCCTGCAGCTTTCTCCACGCCGTGCCTTGAGTGGCGAGGTTGTCCTGGGAGCTTGGCATCGATGGCATCGCTGGCAGTTTTGCGTGACTCGGCACCCCTGGTTGCATGCTCTTGTTTGTCCCAGCTCCGGGCCCCTCCTCCCACCCGGGGACCATCTCCTCTCCCTGCTTTGCCTTTTCTGTTGATTCTTCATGGTTCCCTAGCTTCCTCCCCACCCCACCCTCATTCCTCTGTTTCTCCTGCCACGTATTGTACCTGCCCTTGGGCCCCTCGGGAATTCTGTTTGTCTCCTTAAGGTCAGCACGCTCAGTACCACACACACACACACGTCTCTGTGAGTCTGCTTCTCTTTTAAAGGCCTTAAAAACCACGTTTTTATTTGAGCGTCAAGTTTCTGGGGATTCACTATGGCCCTTCTTCACTTGTGGGTGTTGTTGAACCCCTAAGTGTCAATGTCATGGATTCTGTTGGCATCCGTGGGAGACTCAGATTAGAGAAGTGTGTTGGTACAACGGACAGCCTCGTTTTCTCTCCTTCACGACCTGCCAGCTCCGCAGAGCCCCGGATCCAGTCCTTGGCAAATGCTCTTGCCATGCAGCTCAGCAGCACTCGCCTGTCCCGTTGAGTCGGTCCACTCAGGCACGGCTACTGTTAGTTAACTCATTTGGGAAATAATTGCTGAATAACCCCTGCTCTCCCCTCCCCCCACTCGCGAGGCCCCTGGGTGTACAGAGGTGAGCTCGGCAGACACAGGTGCTGCTCTCGGGTGCACAGCTGCTGACCAGGAGGCGAGGGGAAGGGGCGGCACGTAAGTTAAGGTGGTGTTTCAGAGGCCCCACCCACTGGCTCAGTAGTTCAGTCTTGTTTTGATGGGAGAGTAACAGCTGCTGGAGGTGTAAGTCAAAGGAAACAAAAATTCCTATTAGACTGTCAACAAATAATTATTGAGCGTGATTTGAAGCCACAGAGAGAACGCCAGAAGTCAAAGCATCTATTTCTATGACCAAGGGACCTCGCCGTGACAAGGTAAACCCACAGACCAGTCAGCACCCGTAAGGGCCGAGTGCACAGTCAGAGAAGCACCTCAGGACTGGAAGGGGGAGGCTCATCGGGTCCAGTTTAGCAAACACAAGCCGGGCACTGAGGTATTAGCTGCCGTGTGTGGAGCTGGGGTTACAACCGCGGATTAGGTCATCCCCGGCAGCAGTAACTTCCCTGAGGTTGGCTAAACCAGTGTCCCCGATGTGGTGCAGAAGGAATACACAGGCCAAGAGGAAGGCTGAGGAGGAAGGTGTGCTGGGGGGGGGCGGGGTGCTGGGAGAGCTTCGGGGAGGGGGCCACACCTGGGCGGGTGCTGAGGGACCATAGCGAGTTATCTGGCGGAGGGGGGAAGGGGGCGTTGGAGGCAGACTTAGAGTTGGAGCCGAGGCATGAGATGTGAAATGGCCTAGTACAGTAGCCTAGGAAGTGGGGGGGGGGGGGGGGCGGGATTTGAAAGATGAAGGCCTAGGAGAGGGGGCACGAGTGACATAGTCCAGACTGCGTTTGAGAAGTCACCCTGACGACACGGCTAGGTGGCAGTGAGGCTGGGACCGGCCGGGCCACTGTTACAATATTCCCGGGGAGAAAGGATGAAGATCGAAGGCTGTGACAGTGGGATGGGGCCAGCGTGACAGATCTGAGAGACGCCAGGGGATGCAGTGGTAGGACTTGGTGACCGGGTGTGGAGGCGGTAGGGCAGAACCTGCACCGGAGTCCGAGGAGCCGGGGGGAAGAATACGCACAAAGGGGAAGGTTGCACGTTGTTTGGCTGCAAGTGCAGTCCGGAGTGTGTGGCTGGAGGTAACGTCGGGGAGTCACCAGTGTGTGCGGTGTGGTTACAGCCGTGGAGACGGATGAGTGCGCCTGTGGCGTGGGTCCAGCCGGGGAGCTACGGGCTGGGCTGTCGGGGAAGTTCTGGAGTGAATTCTGCTCCAGAACTGGTTGGCGAGATTCTGTGGGTTTCCATGTCTGTTGGATAAGTTCGGGACATACCGAGCGGTGTAGGACGGTTTGTATAAGGAAATGAGGGAGTGTCTGAAACCAGGTTCTGGGGGAACCCAGAACTGTGGCTAAGGAGGCTGTACTTACGCAGCAGGAGTAGAATAAAGAGGAACGAGTTCAAGGAAGGGTCCACAGACCATGCCCGGGGGCTGTGGCGAGAGGAAGGCGCTCTGCATCCTGGTGACGGGGATGCTGGGTGGCACTGCGTCTGCCGCACGTGACACATACCATGTGCAGGATTTCCTGAGTGGACAGTTAAGTGGTGGCACTTTGATAGTCAAACACTGGATTTGGAAAGGAGGAGGTGAATTCACGTTTGAGCATGTGGGGCACTCCAGGTGAGAAGCGAGGGTGCACACCTGGAGTCGCTGATGGCTTCAGCTCACCCAGCAGTGAGGAGCTGTGTGCCACAGGAGGAGAGAGGAGCAACGGCGGGATCTGAAAGGTTACAGACGGAGGCATAATAAAAACAGGCAAATTACTGCCACACCATGAGGCAGGACATGCTTTAAAAAAGGTGGTTGTAAAGTGTTACAGGGACTCAGAAAAAAAGAGAAGCAGCATCGGGTTGAAGGGACAGCAGGACAGTCTCCTCTGAGCTGGTGGCACTTTGACGAGCAGATGGAGGCAGGGGTGGGTGGGAGGAGGAGGTCAGAGGCACTGAGGTGTGGCGTGGCCGGACACCAGCGCACCAGGGTATAGCTCAGGCGTGTGAGCTTTTTAGGAGACTCACTATTAAGTGGAAGAGCTAAGCAGGGAGGATGGATGAGAATGAGACCCTGGTAGCGGGTTTTTCCCCCTGAAAGTGAATGCTGGTCCCTGCCTCGAGTCTTCCAGGGTCAGGAGCTCCCTGTCATTCAAAAGACACATGGGAGAGGAAGCGAGTTGGTTTTGCTGTTGGTTCTTGCTGTAGCTTCTAGACCTTGGGCTCTGCCCTCCCTGCCTGATTCCAGGAGCCATGGAGAGATTCCCTGAAAGCCGTCACTGAACCAGAGGTAACCCAGGGCAGGCTTTGCAAAAAACGTTCCTTGAAAGAGCAGCCGAGCAGTTCTTTCTGGAAGGCCACAGGACCTTCAGGGAGGTCAGAGATGGGAGGGAGAGGAGCGGATAAAGTCACTCCACGATGCTCATTTGCATATATTATGAAAGGCATTTCAGACATTACGCATGAGAAACAGAGGGCTACTGTCTTCTGAATGTGTCTCATATCCCCTAGAAAAAGCTCTCAAATCCAGACATGGGTACAAGTTTTAGACTGTGGAAATATAAATGCTACACTCTGTATATGGCCCAAAGGATTAAAAAAGAATGGGTGTATATTCATGGCCGTGGGCGAGAGAAGGCTAGCCAGCTTTTGTTGTTCAGAAGCTGCGTCTCTTCGGAGCTCTGAGATCTCCGCTGGTGGGTGAAGGAGGAGGCTCGCAACACACTGGTGGTGACACGTTGATGTGGCTGTGGTTGGAACCGGACTCGCAAAACATGCAAATATTAGTTCTCAGGTCACCTGAGCCTTACAGGACTGACAGGAGCCTTCAAGTACAAGCTGACCAAACTGGTTTGTCTGTTGCACAACATTAAGTACTTTTCTACCTATAGCTGAGAGTGTCTCCCATGAACAGGTGGAATGCATTTAGTGTGTCAGGTCGACCTCTAGTGAGTTACTAGTGATAACCGTCTTCAACACTTGCTGAGCATTTGCCGGGTACATAGTAAGAGCTTTACACAGGTCATCTTGTTTAATAATCCTGTTAATGTAGGCATTTTTCCTCCTTATTTTAGAGAGTAGGAAACTAGGTATAGAGCTGTTGCCTAGCTAAGTAGTGGTTCCGAAACTGGCAGAGCCTGTGCTGAACTGTTCAGTCTTCTTTGGGAAAGATTTTATTTATTTTTAGAGAGAAGGGAAGGGAAGGAGAAAGAAAGAGGGAGAGAAATATCAATCGGTTACGATACACACCCCAACCAGGCACTGAACCCATGACCCAGGCATGTGTCCTGACCCGGAATCAAACCAGTGACCTTTGCTTTGTGGGATGACACACCGTCAGCTCGGTTGGGCAGAACCGTTAAGTCTTAACCATTAGGCCAGGGCACACTCGTGACATTGCCTTAGATTAGAACAGATGGGAGGCTTATCCAAAACAGGTGTTTATCTTAGTAACCTGATAGGTCATTCAACGTGTAGAAAATTCTGTGTAGCCGAACACTCAAACAATTAGGTATAAATTAGTTTACCTTTCAGCGTCTTCACAGTTTGAGAACCTTTGGGTGTTTGTCTCCATTCCTCTGAGCAGAACTTTCAACTTGTGTTTAAGCCAAATGCTCTTCAATGATTAACAAAGCTGCTTAGGTCGATTCTAGGGAGATGTAACACGTTAGCATCCTGCATGATGCAATCTGAACTGTGGTTCCTCTTACACAAAGCACCTACTGATGTCACAAAACCACCGAGGAGCTCCTCCTAGTCACCACAGGGGCAAAACCGCCCTGGGCAAGGGAGTGTAGTGTGCCTTTGCTGAAAGCCTTGCAGACTCGCCAGCTGGGGCGGGCTGTTTCTCCTGCCTGCTGCTGGCTGGCTTGCAGGCCAGGACTCCTGCTGAGTGTGTGCAGGCAAATGCGGTCCTTGGCATCCTCCCGGGAAACCCAGCGTTTTGGCTTTACACCCAGTCTGACAAGAAAGGATTTGTTTTTCCCCCTTCAGACCATTGCCAGGGAGATGAATTCTCATCAGCCCCACATCCGGAGTGAAATCTGGAAAACCTAGTTCAGAGCTTTTGAAGAAGCTGCTACAGGGTATTTTAGCAGCAAATCCTAGAGCATTAAAGGGCCATTGAGAGGGGAAAATGAAGCTTGGGAGGCTCTTTTAAAAACATGCTTGTGTTTGTAACCCAAGTCATGGGTGTCCACTGTAGAAAACTAAGAAAATGTAGACAGGAAAAAGTCAAGCCCTTAAACGGGACCCTATTTTGCGGTACACCAAATCTTGTTTCATCTAAGCAGGGGGCACACTGAAGATATCATACAAACTTGAGATTTCCACTAGAATGTTCAAGGGAAGATAACTTGTCTATACCTCTCTTTCAAAAATTGCTAATACAATCAGCATTCAAGAAAATAACAATTAAATAGTGCTCTGAGCCTTGCAGAAATTAGAGTTGTAGGATTTTCTTAAGATGGTGAGGCTGTTTCTGGGTTCACGGCGGTGCACCTAGCCACGCTGCGGATCGTCACTGCAGTTGGGCGATAAAACCTGTCAAAAACTGTCTGTGTGCTTTCTTTGCTAGACACCAAATGGACTGCTCCTGACCCCGAGTCCGCTGCTGTCCAGCATACATTTCTGGAGCAGCCTCAGTCCAGTTGCTCCACTGAGTCCCGCCCGGCTGCAAGGGCCAAACACGCTGTTCCAGGTGAGCCATTGGAAACAAACTTCTAAACAATGGACTTTCTAAGGAATGTGTTTCCCAGGGGACCCTGCACAGGTGTGGGTTCCGCCCCATGTTTGGTTAAGGTGTGAGGTTTCCACAGGGAGTTTACGGTAATGGGGCGGCACACAGAAGGCAGGCAGCCTTCAAAGCCAGGCATTTTCAACGGGGCAGAAATGGAGTATTCCCTGCAGGTGCCCACATGTGCAACAACTCCTTAAGATGTTCCAGAATTTTCATTGACTATGAAAACTGGGTATTTATCAAGGAAAAGGCAAAACTTTATAAAAGTAGTATTTTATAAAAGTCTCAGAAGACTTTTAAAAATATTAATGTATTAGTCAATGGTGACATGGCTTAAAAATGGCGAACGATCTTTCTTTACTACAATAGAAAAGTTATCTGTATGATATATAAGGACGTTCACCTTGTTCTGTAACAAAACAAGGAGTATCCAGGGCATTTGGTTGAAAACTAAGTCTTAGCAGCTTTATCTGGCAAAACTCCCTGTACTATGTAAGCACAGTCATTATTCATTCACACACTAGGATCTTGCGGGTAGCATCACTTACTAGCAAGTGGAAATCACTATTTCCTTTTCGCCTGTTAGTCACTGACCCTAAGACGTTACCGTTTGAATATGTGAGGCTAGGACGGAAAGGATCCTACCTAGGGACAGGCTTGAAGCAAAGCTGGATCGAGTGCCAGCTCCCTCCGTACCTAGTCCCAGCCTCCTCTGTCTATCGTCCCTGCCCCCCAGTGTGGCGCACACCACTGGAGCTGTACTCCTTCCGGTCCTGTTGCATCCAGCACCACTTTGTATTACGATGGCCTGTTCCATCTGACGATCTCCCCCACTAGACTGTGGGCCCTTGAGAGGCCAGAACGGCTTCTGGTGCACTGTGGTGAGCCTCCGGCATCTAACACATTGCTTGGTACACAAATGATGCTCAGTAATTATCTTTGATGAACTGAATAAATGCATAAGAGTTTGTCTAGAAATGTCGAAGAAAGTTAAGTGTTAAAAAGTTCAGGTCTCCATGCTTTTTTGTCGGTCACTTTGCTTGCCAAGGGTTAACATTTACACCTCCACTGAGCAAGGAACTGTACATGGTGGGACTCGGGGTCTCGTTTGAGGAAGGGCGGGTGCACTAAGGAGGTTTTGATTGCCATCTTGCTTCTCTGGTTTCCTAGTGGGGTGGAGGTAGGGTGTCACGATGTCACTGTAGTCCTGGGGTAATCAGGTTTCTCTCCCTGGCCCTTCTTCCCATCTCAAGAGGCTGAGCTGTTTGTGCACAGCCAACATGTTGATTCATCACTGTTGTTACTCCGGCAGGGAAACAAAAACTAGAAAAAGCAAGCAAAAAGCAGTGAGCAAGGGGTTTTGGTAAAATTTTAGATTTGCAGTCTTTTGATGGGGAGCCAAAGGACCTTATTTCCTGAAACTCTCCAGGTTGGAGCAGCAGTATTGTGGCTTTAGAGCTCACGAGCAGAGCAGAGTTGCGTGGTGCATCTGCCTATTACGCTGCACGGAGTAGGGACTGCACTGCTACTCTAAACTGAGACTCTAATATAGGGGGCAGAAGACACTCGTGAATAATGAACGGATGCTCCCTTCCCTGCCGACTGGGAACTGTACCACCTGATTGCTGCAGGGCTTGGTGACCTCCCAAGGAAGCCACGGAGAACTATTACTTGGGAGTTCTTTGGCATACCTTGCCTTGGATACTAAACCTTTCCTAGCCCGTTAATCCCCGCGGTAACAGTGGTGCAAGTCTGCAGTGATTCTGTACATTATCACGCTATCTGGAGCTCGGGGGGTGGGTAGGGAGATGTGTACATCCTCTTCAGTCACGACTATGAACGAGTGATTCTCAAAGTTAGCATGCAACAGAAGTGGCTGTTAGGTGTGCCAGGACAGAGTGCTGGGCCCCACCCGAGTTTCTGATCCAGGAGAAGGCCTGGCATGAGCCAGAGGACAAGATTCTCTAAGTTCTTAGTGATGCTGCTGCTCTGGGAACCACACTCCGAGAGCCACCGCAGACCAGCCGTTCCCGTTTACATTTAGATTCTGTGGAAGAAATGGCTGCATTGAGCGCTGCCTGGTTAGAACTGTAATTTCACAGAATGGGCCCATGCTCTCTCCTGAGCCACTCGGAATACACCGGTGGGCAGAAGTAGGTTCGCAGGTGTGAATATAGGAAACGGGGTTTATTCTTGCATTATTCTTTCTTAAAACTGTATTCTTTCCCATACAAACTCTACACCTACTGTTGCCCACCCCTGTACAGCCCCCAAAACACAACTGTGTTTGGACGGCTAACAGGACCTTGGACCCTCTTTTTGATTGGGGTCCATGAGACTAAGGAAAAACCTTTTCAAATACTATTCCTCTTCCTGTAATAAGAGCAGTTGCGTATGGTGAAAGTTGAAATCAGTAGTTTTGAAAATGGTAACAGAACATGGTAAGAGGAGTAACTTTTTCGAGGGGCAGTTTTTAAAGGAATTTGAGCCAAACAATGACCTATGCTAGGGAGCAAGAGCTCACATGCTCCCTATACTGTGATTTTTAAAACTAGGTATTTCAAATGATGGGTTTACAAAATTTCAATGAGTATCACAGTGCCACCTCTGAAATCAGTGCAAATAATTTTCCTTGAAAGTAACAACCCTTTTTCACATGTGCTGTAAATATGTTGGAGGAAGAATAAAATAGAGTATGTTTATCCAGGGTGTCCAACCCATGGCCCAGGATGGCTATGAATGTGGTCCCACACAAAACTGTAAATTTACTTAAAACTTTTTTTTTTACTCATCAGTTTTCGTTAGTGTTTGTGAATTTTATGTGTGGCCCATACACGCCAAAAGGTTGGACACCCCTTGATGCGGGCAGATTTCCAGTTGTGAGGATTAGAAAAATAGATCAGAATCCTTAGAGTAACAGTGGACAGAGCTGGTAAGTTTGTGCACAGAAGGTCCCCTGGTAGACTTGTTATAGCAGACACTGAAGAATTTAAGGGAAGGAAAGAGAAGATAATTTATTTCCCTTTCTGGGAAGAGGTATGCTTTGTAATCGAGATGTATTTTAGAGAGAGATGACAAACACATGTTGTGTTAAATCTAAATATACAATCTTGATTTACAAATAAAGTGAGACCCGTTTCAAATAGTTTGGCATTTTGTCTACAAGATGTCTGTTCCATTTTTGAAACAGATTTGGATCCAATCTGGAATAAGCCTAGTAAAGTACAGATACATCTTGAAACAAGGTGGGACTGATTAACTTTTCAATTGAGAATGTTTTCTGCAATTTTTAATTCAACAAGTCTAACCCAGCACGTATTTGTCATGCTCTCAGGTGGAGACTTAGGGGTTACACAACCTGTGAATAATAGATGTGTAAACAAATACTCGAAGAACCCCACAAACACCAGCTCTTTCCAGCTGGGACCCGGACAAAAGCTCCAAGGAAGTGGCACCTGAGCTAAGCTGAGAAGGGACAGAATTTTACCAAACAGTGAAGCACATTCTAGATTAACAGAGTAGCATGGTATGAACGTGAAATACATGGAGTCTGAGCAGGAAGGTACTGGGAAGTCAGGCTGGAGATGCAGCTGTAGGACTTGAACACTGTGTGGAGTTCCTACCTTGACCTCTTCACCTGATGGCCGTGGAAGCTTTTAAAGCTGGAGATAGTATGACAAGATCTCTGTTTTAGAACCGTATCTCTGATATTAGTGTGGAGGAAGAAGGACTGAAGAGAAAGAAAGTGTAAGGGTCAGGAAGATGTGAGGAAATTTACACTATTCCAAAGACTGAGGGAAGAATAATCTTTTAGAGGAGAACAGTGGAAACAGGAATATATTTAGAACACACTCTAGAAGTAAAATCGACAGGAAGACTTTTGGTTGGGTGTGAAAAGTAGGCAATGTAAATTAAGAAGAGGCAAAGATCACTGTGATTAAAAGACTGGAAGTGCTATTAATAGCCGTGGTTAATGTTTACTGTATGCCAGCCATTGTTCTAAGCACTTTCTGTGGTTTCTCATTTAATACTCAAAACACTTCTATTTGAATACAGAAGCCAAGGTCAAGAGACATTGCTTCTTCTTCAGTTTACCCTGATCACACGTTGCAGAGCTCGACTCAAGTTCAGGGTTGTACTGCTCCCAGCCACCACTCTCACTGAGAAAAATGGGCACAGGAGAGCAAGTTTGGTGGGGAAGAGGCATTGGCAGGTACCTCTAACCAACAAGAAATTGATTATTGAGTCCAGTATAGGAGAAGAGGCAGGCTGAGGACATTTAAGTCTGGGGAATGTTGCAAGTTTAAGAACAGGGACCAAGGGTGGGGTGGCGGAGGAGCAGAGTCAGTAAAGAGGACTGTGAAACGTGCAAGAAAAGCAGGCTCATCAAGGGAAACTGTGACAACTGAGTGTAGGCAAACAGAGAACCAAGGGCAGAAATCACTAGTATATTTTTAAAAAGACACTAAACTGAAAGCTGATTGTTTTGAAAATGCAAAATGGACAAAAACAAAATGAGAGAAGATGCAAATAAACTGAAATAAGAAAACCAAAACCTGTTCTTCCAGTGTTCACTGAGTCGGCGATTTTACTGGTAAGCTGCAAGAATTGTGAAAACATGCAACACCTGACCATTTAGTCAGGGCCACTGACCTCTTTTCCCTTAGATTGTCAACAGCCAATACAACAGTAGCTGTCCAGTGTGAATGAATCAGAATTGTACCTACTTTTTTGTCAGAGCACTAAGAAATATATATTTTTTTGATGTGCTGCAGAATTTTAGTAATTGGTTTGTGTGCCATGAGTTAAAAAATATTGAAAACCACTGCTCCAAATCAATGGGATTAGTGGTTAGGAGCAGACTTGTGAGTAGATTTTATAACCCAGTTGAAATGGATACAATTCTGTAAAAAAAAATTAAAATTCCAAAGTGTCAGAAAACAGAAACCTAGACTATGCGAATAACCATTAGTGACACTGAAACAGTAACGAAAGAGCACTTCCCTCCCAAGCCCTGCCAAAAATAAATTGGGCGGTTTGGCACAGAAAGTGTAGTTGAAAGCTTGGCTTTACTGCTTATTAGCCATGACCTTTAGACAGTCCTGAACTTACTTGAACTCTTGTTTTCTCCCCTATAAAATGAGGAAAACCAAACTTACCTTACAGGTGCTAGATATCAAATGAAATGACAACCGTTTGTTAACTGTAAGGCAGTAGACCATACCAGTTATGTGAAATAGCTTGAAAATTACAAAAATATATTTACTTGTTTTACAAATATTTGTTGTACTTCTAACATGTACCAGGCTCTTCAGTTTGATACTTAGTGTTTAAGTGAAGTTTAATATCTAATTCCTATCAAGAGCCCAGGAGATCATCGTGACACACACCATCCTAGACAATGGAAATCTAGTGGAGGCTTAATTATTCTTGTTCACTTCGGACTAATAGCAGCTGTCCTTCTTCTAGACCTGAAAGCCATCCAAGCATGTATCTTTATTCTACTTATCATCTTCATTACCAATACAGAAATGAACATTATTCCTTAAATTTAATTTGGAATGTATGAACTTTCATATTATTATTTTAATTAGAAAGAATACTCGCAGCCCTGAATATTCTTGCTTTCTAAATCTTTTAAGATAGAAACATTCCTCGTTTCCTTAAAAATTTATTTTATTTATTTTTAAAGAGGGCAAGGGAGGGAGGAGAGGTAAGGAAATATCAGTGCGTGGCTGCCTCTCGTGCACCCCGTAGTGGGAACCTGGCCCGCAAGCCAGGCATGTGCCCTGACTGGGACTCAAACCAGTGACCCTTTGGGCTCAGCACCCAATCCACTGAGCCACACCAGCCAGGACGACTCCTCATTTTTAACAGTTACTAGGAAGCATCTTTGTAGTACTCTGGAAAACTGATGGCCAATTTCAAAATACAGTGTTAAAATTACTGATTTACATGCCAAGAGTCAGTTAATTTCTTTTTCTTAATATTGAAAAAAAATCAACATTCTACATAACTTGGAATCTTTTTTAAAAATAGCGTTAGAATATACTTTAGCAACATATAAAGTACATGTTTTTTCTAGTAGCCTAGGCATATAAAATGAAGATGTTTTCTGAGCCTTCACCTGTTTGCTGTATGTAATCCTGACCTCATTGTCGTCTTCCAGCTTGTTCTGTAAAATAACTTGCAACTTACCTGTATCACAGGTACAGGTGATAATGGAACTGATCCACTATGGTCTGTCTAGGAAAGTAAAGTACTCAAATTCTTCCCAGTAGATGTGCAATAATTATTTTAAAAATCTTTTGTCCCCTACAGTTCCCAACACTGCTCAATGGCCACATGCCAGTGCCAATCCCCAGTCTGGACAGAGCTGCTTCTCCAGTACTGCTTTCGTCGAATTCTCAGAAGTCCTGATGACATCTGGCCACAACTAAAGACTCATTAACTGATGAAACAAATTTGTCCCCATGGGCTAGTTTACCTGTGTCATGAGAAGGACTTTGTGAAACCCTGTTAATTTGGTTTGCACTTTTCATAACATGGATGGTCTATATGTTAGCATTTTAAAAACTTTTTTTTATATTCAAGTATATATGAAATCTGTTTTGCATTAAGCGAATTTTAATATTTTTTATATCCTCTTAGCTCTTAAGTGTTGAACACTGTTGACAGTGAAGAACTTTTCTTAATGGTTTTCAGTGTAACTAATTAAGGATGTGAAGCTTTTTTCTCTTTAATTCTGCATATGCTGAACTGTGCTTATGTATTATGTACACCATTAACCAGCTGTGCCTTCCTTTGCATTTAGTTTTATGTAAATGATTTATATATTTTTAGTATTAAGAGAAAATGTTTGAAAGACAAAAATTAGTATCAAACAACTCTAGTAGAATTTCATTGTTTTTCACAAGTAGGCAATATGAAAGCATAGTCATATTATTTTTTTTTGCTTTCAATTATAAGAATTGCCTTAGAATCTCTTTTGAACTGAAATTCAATAAATGTAATGTCCAAGTAATGTTTTTATAAGAAGAAACTAAGCCATATTTAGACAATAAACATCCATAAAAAATGTTCGAAAGTGCATTTTTGTAAGGGATGTGAAAGGCTAGCCTCCCAGCCGTTTACAGTCTTTTGGACTCCTCCCAAACAAAAAAACCTGAGATGGAAAAGCTACATCAAGTTCATTCTGTCCTACCCCCAGAATATTTTCTAGGTTCGCATAATCTGTTTTCAAACAATTAGCCTTGGTTCTCCCTGTTCTCCATCCATAGAGAATCACACCCCTCTGATACATTTCCTGTATCACTGAGTTAAGGTTTCCCCAAAGCCCCGGAACTGTCACATTTAAAAAGCCCACGCTTTGGAAGGGGCTCACAGACTGGTGATGAATGCAAACACTGCAGGAACAGTTCTGAAACACGAGGTGTCGTCATGTGTACAGGTATATAGCCTTGCTTGTGGAAATGGAGGTCATTACTAAATTGAGGGTGAGAAATGAAAAAAATCTGATACAATGAATGGAAGATTCTTCAGAAACCTCATCACTGTTGAACTGAACTGATGCTAACAATTTCGAACACTAAATTATTTTGTGTAGTTTAGAGCAGTACTACTAACAGGAATATAACTTCTGTTCCTTCAAAAAAAAACCCCAGCAGGCACCACTCTAAGGCATCATTCTGTACCATATGGAAGTCCTAGAGGTAAGAGAACTGGAAAATGCCCAGGACTTTCAACTCAAGATCAGTTAACTGCCATCCTTAAATGAAGTAACAGGCACCAATTTGAAATGTGACTAAATAATTAATTGATCTAAACCAGGCATTAAATAGCAGGGATAAAAAAACAATGCTTGCAAAAACAAAAATATTTCTGGAATTCTCAAAAATATCTAAACTTTCGTTAGGATACAAATGGTGAGATTTTTCAATTGGAATTGAGCATCTCTGTGTGAGGGGATGGATGCCCTAGGAAAAATGCAAACATCCCAACATGCATCTTTGAATACAAAATAATGGAGCCGATTCCAAAATCCAGACACTACTGTCATGGGCTAAGGATAATTCTGTACAAAAATAGTTGGTCCAGCTGATATTTTACAAACACAAAACGTTAAGAGTTAGAAAGAGAATCCCCATCCCCATCCCGCCGAGTTTCTAGGTAAGGACATTGCACAGGAGAAGCTGGAAGTCGCCTAAGGCCACCCAGCTCAGTGAAGGTGAAGGATCAGGGCTCGGTCCAGGTCTGCTTCCCCACGCTTCAGCTATACATTACTAGTCCAAAGCTGTGTTGGGTAAAAATGCAAGATTCTTACACAGAAACTAAAGAGGAAGTTAGTGTGCAAGTATCACAACCAAAAATATTCTCAAATGTAAATGATGATTGGAAGTATTCAAATGACTATATATCAGATTCTTGTATTCCTTTCCTCCAAATACTATGATTAACATATAATCTGGCCCATTTACTGGAAATGGAAAAATACTGTAATTGTTGGTGGATCGAAAATCTCACTGTAACAAATAGAAAACAAGTACTGAAGTATATTAGAACTCTGCCTCATTCTGTGTGTGTGTGGTGTTTATTGTTTTTTAAACAACTATTTTAGTCAGAAAATAGTTTTCACACAACATATTAAATTTCTTTTTATGTCTGCCTGATTGGTGTTAAGCTGTTAAGGCTAAAGTTTTATAGAACTATAAACATTGGTCCCTTTGTACACTTCTTTTGTATGACTGCAACTCTTCATTCACTTTCATATATGTATCATTTTTACTGTTATTTTGTTCAATAAATACTTTGTGATAAAAGGTGTGAGGAGGCAAGTGGTGCGGTGTACTTCCATTTACTTGGGGTAATCCAGATTTACTTTCCCACACGGTACAGGTTAGCAAATGAGTCTTATCATCTAGCCTTAAATGTGGTGCAGCAAAACATGCTCTGGATATATAACCTGCTTTAAACAGGTATTTAAGGAAGCAAATATAATTACTGAAGTTGAATTGGAGAGAGGGGAATGGGTTTAATAAGTGTCCCCGGGCCTTTTAAATCTTGAATTCTATCAATTGTTCTGTATTGAGATTGGAAGAGGGGGAACATTTACTGTTTATTTTTTTAGCCACAACTAGTATCTTACTCAGTGGTGAAGGACTGAAAGCTTTCCCCCTAACATCAGGAACAAGGCAAGGATACCCTGTTGCCGCTTCTAGTCAACACAGTACTGAAAGTCCTAGCAGAGGCAGGGGGAGGCATTCAAATCAGAAAGGAAGAAATAAAACTATTTACAGATGATGTCTTATACGTGGAAAACCCTAAAGAATCTACCAAAGAGAGAAAAACCTATTAGAGCTAATAAACTGAACAAAATTATAGGACACAAAATCAACATGGAAAAATCATCTGTATTTCTACACATTATCAACAAAAAACTTGCAAAAATTAAAATACCTGGCCCTGGCTGGTATATCTCAGTGGATTGAACATGGGCCTGTGAACCAAAGGGTTGCGGGCCAGGTCCCCAGTAGGGGACACATGAGAGGCAACTACACAATGATGTTTCTCTCCCACTCTTTCTCCTTCCCATCCCCTCTCTCTAAAAATAAGTATTAAAAAGATTAAAATACCTGAGGAATAAACTTGATTAAGGTGGCACGAGACTTGAACACTGAAAAGTACAAACCACTGCTACAAGAATGAAAGACATCCTGTGTTCACGGACTGAGAGACAATGTTGTTAAGATCAGACACAATACTCCGCAAAGTGACCTAACAGATTCAATGCAATTCCTACTACAATCCCAATGGCATTTTCTTTTTCCAGAAATTAGAAAATTTGTACCCTAAAATTTATGAAATTTCAAGGGATCTCAATAACCAAAACAATCTCATAAAAGAACAAAAAACACTCATACTTCTTTTTTTATTAAGCCTCACCCAAGGACATGCTTATTAATTTTAGAGAAGGGAAGGGAGAAAGGGAAAGAAGCATCAGTTGGTTGCTGCTTGTATGTGCCCTGACCAGGGACTGAACCTGCAAATTGGGCATGTGCCCTGACTGGGAATTGAACCCACGATCTTTCAATTTACTGACAATGCTCTAACCAACTGAGCCACATCAAGCCAATCACGCCAATCAACAAGAGGGCCAAGACCAGTGGGAAAAGGACAGGCTTTTCAACAAATAGTGCTGACAGACTAGATATTCACCTGCAGAAGAATGAAGTTGGACCTCCACTTAACACACAAAAATTAACTCACTCTTGAAACAGGAAAATATTCATGCCCTTGGATTCGGCAATAGTTTCTCAAATATGCCACTAAGAGCAGAGGCAACAGAAGAAAAATAAATACACTGGACTTCATTGCAATTAAGATTTTGTGTATCAAATGACACCATTAAGAAAGCAGAAGACAATCCACAGACGAAGAAACCGCAAACCACATGCCTCATACATGTTTAATACCCAGAATACACGAGGAACTTATAACTCAACGACAAAGACATACAACACAATTTAAAAATGGGCAAAGGATTTGAATAAACCCTTTTCCGAAAAAGATACACAAATGGCCAATAAGCACACGAAATGATGCTCAACATACTTAGTTATTGGAGAAATGAAAAATCACAAGGTTCCCGTTTACGCCTGTTAGAATGAATATAATAATAATTTTTTTTATAAAGGAAGGAAGTGTTGGCCATGATGCGAAGAAACTGGAACCCTCACACATGACCACGGGAAATGTAAAATAGTGCAACTGCTCTGGAAAATAGTTTGGCAGTTCCTTAAAAATGGAATTACCAAATAGCCCAATAATTCCACTTCTAAGTACATAAGCCCGAAGAATTAGGAAAACAAGGACACACAGAAGCGTGTACACCGGGGTTCACAGCAGCGTTACCCACAGTAGATGCGAACAACCCAAGGCCCCCTAACAGATGAATGGGTTAACAAAATGCATATTTTTATCACAGAATAGTATTCGGCCATGAAAAAGGAAGTTCTGACACCTGCTACAACATCAATGAACCTTGAAACACTGTGCTAAGTGAAACAGGTCAAACACAAAAGGACAAATACCGTATGATTCCACGTATATGAAATTCAGACAAAATGTATATTTGAGGTTACCAGGGACCTGGGATATGGGGAAAATGGGGGATTATTTCTTAAAAGCGTAGAGTTTCTGATCGGAGTGATGAAAAATTTTAGAGATAGTCATAACTGCTATACAACATTGTGCATCTAATTAATGCCACAATTGTAGATTTATGGCAAACTTTATATATGTATTTTACCACAATTTAAAAAACAGTATACAAAAACCCTCACAAATTGTCCTTCAGTCATAAGATAAGTTACTATATTATGACATGCCAACAGACTTTCAAACGGAGGCTGACAAAGCACCAAAAGGAATACAACCACGTTCGTATATCTGAAGTAACACATTTGGTGTGCGTTCAGATCACTTGGAAGGAAAACAAAAAAGTCATCCTGTCTCACCTTTAGGAACCTTGTGAGTTTAGGACAAATCGTAAGTGTTCAAAGGTTCAAAATCTCTGAGCTTCTAAAAAATTAAAAATGGAACTGCCTTATGACCCAGCGATTTCCACTTCTGGGACCATACCTAAAGAGACCTGAAACACCAATTCAAAAGAATATATGTACCCCTATGTTCACTGAAGTGTTACTTATAGTACCCAAGATTTGGAAGCAGCCCACGTGCCTACCAGTAGATGAATGGATAAAAAAAACTGTGGTACATTTACACAATGGAGTTATTACTGAGACCCCCCAAAAAGAAGAAGGAACTCTTACCTTTTGTGACAGCACCGGTGGATCCGGAGAACAGTATGCTAAGTGAAATGAGGCAGTCGAAGAAAGACGAATACCATATGATTTCACTTACATATGGATTCCCATGAGCAAAATAACAAACAAATTAGACTCACAGATACAGAGAACAACTTGCCAACTGTCAGAGGGGAGGGGAGCTGGGGGAGTGGGTGAAAAGGTGAAGAAATTAAACAACAAAAAACCCCTCACAGACAGACAATGGTGTGGTGACAGCCAGAGGGCAACGGGAGTGGGGGAAGGAGAAGAGGGTGAAGGAGGGACAGAGGGTGGTGGAAGGAGACTCGACTTTGGGTGAACACACAATGCAGTATATGGATGATGTATTATAGAACTGTACACTCGAAACAAATTTTTATTAGCCGATATCACCCCAATGAAGTCAACAAAAACTTTAAAAATTTTCTGAGTTTCAATTTTCTTCACTAAAAGTTCCCAAGATCTGAATGGTACTCAAATTAAAAAAATACCAAGTTCCTCAATAAAATAAAGATACGTTCCTAGAACTTCCTAGGAAGAAGAATTTTATATAGCTACTGGATTATAGTTTCTTTACCTTTTATATGCAAGAATCAAATGTATAAATAACTGTCAAATTTTAACAAATCAAATTAAAAAAACGACACTACAACTGAGTGCTATCCCATAAGGCTGCAGTGGGGACTACTACTGTAGTCCGGCCAGCACAAACACGCTGTAGGTTAAATGTTACTGGCGCCGTGGGACTTGATTACCTGGAGAATGAACCCGTAAAAGAGAACGAACCCCTTCTGCACAGTCTTCTTCCCCCGTAAAGAAGTGCGACAATAAAACCACATTTTAACAACATGAAGATTTTGTTATTATAAATTTCAAAACAAAATGGAAGAATTTCCACATAATATTTATAACCTTCAAAGTAATACATGTCTGTCAGTTAGAAATAACAGCAGTTTGTTAGGCTACAGGGTTTAACATGAAACTAATTTACAAACGTGAAAAGCAGTAGTGGTCCAATGTTCACCATTACATACATAAATGTTTCTTCCAGAAATTTTTTTAAAAAATTAAAATTTCAGTATCGTAAAATATTAAAATAACACCCTAAACATGCCACAATCACTATTCACAAATAAAGTTAAAATGAAATATACAAAAATTCACTTAATACTGTTAAATAACAATAAACTACAAGATTTCCTGAACAGAAATGGTAGGACCCCTGAATGTTTTACAGTGAATGTCAGGAGAAAAATTAAGTTATGACTATTTTAATGACATATAAGCCAAAAATTTACATGACCATCTCAAAATATACCAATTAAGATTTGTAGTTTGTAAGATGCACTAAACAAATAGTCCTTAAAAGTTAACACAAATGCTCAGAACACTGTTACCAACACTCAGGTATGTTTGTGATGTTCAAAGAGATGCATAATTAAAACCATAATATTTATATCTGATTAACAGTAACTACAATACTTAAAACAATCCTCTAAGTCTCACTGCTCTCATTTGCATTCATCATGGCTCATTTCAAAGACAGCTTTCAGCTGATTCCAAGTGAATGTTAAGACACATACATACAGACAGCCCCCAAAAGAAATAAATTGTTCCTCACTGATATAGCATCCTTTATAATACAAGAATTGTGTTTTAAAAAAACAAAAACATGACCTCCCATGTTTGACTGGATTTGCATGGTTTTGTTTAAAATAGGTAAAGTGTATTAGTATACAAATATCCAATAATATGTGTACATACTTATGAAATAAGGTAAAAATAAATAATTTTGGATGCTCTAATTTACTGGTATCTAAACTGAGATCCCAAAATGTCAGGTATTCACTTGCTCCAATCAACTTCAGCATCACATGCTTCCCTAAACATAATGTGCTTATTAACTTCTTAGCTATTCTATTTGCCAATGTTCAATAAAAAAGTTACATAGATTATACAGCATGAACTTAGAGTGTTCAAGATGGCTCACTTATTTTACTGTTAAGCAAAGCTGAATTTACATTCCAGAAAACACCGCAGCTTAACTCTAAAAACGAACAAAAAAATGCAGCAGTAAAATATTCGTGAGGAGAAACAGAAGCATTCACATCGTAAAGCCACTGCAACTTCTTCAGGCATTCAACTGTTGTGTTAAATAGACAGACAGTAGTTATTTAGCAGCAATGATTCCGCAATAAATAATGCACTGTGTTTCTCAGTCCTGCACAAAAATTGCAGCTACAGTTACATCAACAGCTGTAACCTACTGGCTCTAATGGCAGAGAAGACCTTAAAACCAACTGTACAAAAAATTGTCACACTGTGACAACAAATATAAAAACAATCTGTAGGTCTGAAATAAAAAGACTCCACTGTGAAGAGGACAGTGTAGACAGACGGAGATTCCAAGTCCACCAAAAGAAGTAACTGCCTTCAGATCTGAGTCCTTGATTGGTAAGAAAGGCTGGGGCTGGGCTTGAAACCATGTTACCAGACTTAAAAGAGCATGCTCTGTCTTCTGTTCTTCCCGTGTCCTAAAATATAAAGTCATTTTATGAGGCAGTTCAATGTTCAGTTTTATCCCACACATAGTATTTGGTGACTCTAGGAAGCTAACGGTCCCACCAGCAAAAGCTAATTTTCCATGGTAAGAGTGATCAGCACTGTCTTAAATGGCCCTTTTGTCGCAGGGGTCAGTCTACAGCTTCTATGCTTCGAAGTGATGAACCTGATGACTAGGGAAGCACAAGATGTGTCTTCTGTCTCAGGTACCAGGGATGGCGTGTGCAGTGATCAAGCCAGGCCACTCGTAAAAGGTCTTTGTGCCATCTGCAGCTTTCAGGATCCCTGACTTGACTGAGTCAGATTTCTCTCTGAAGAGTTACTGAGCTGCCCACATCATACAGAAAAGTGAGTGTGTGCAATGCTTAAACATACACAGTTGTGGAATGCACTGTACAGTGGTTTTTACATCAATAATTTTACTGATCAATTTATAAACCAAAAATTGGTTCCACTCAAAATTTCATGATCGACACGTGAAATGGTTTATGACAAACACACCTGTCTCTGGATAAGAAGAATTTCGAAAACCCGGGTCCTTTTGCAACTGAATCTCTTTCAAACTGAATATTGATACACCTAAAATGCACAGACAAAAATTATCAGATGAAGGTCTAACATTATTAAAACAAATATAACTCAACTATATAGACAAATGTTTAAAAATGAATACTGATACAACATGAAACATTTGCAACTTTTACAGGTTATAGCCCTGCTAAAATATTTTCCCTTTTGTCCCAATGTTTTAAGAAAGCCAAACACAATCTCCCTTCAGAACCACTCCCCCTGCAACTCTGCTTTAAATCATGATTCAAGCTTGTACTTCTCTAAAGAGAATACACATTGTCTACCTCTAGGACCTACTGGGGTTGGAAGACCTAATCAAAATGTATTACTTGGTTTTTACTTTCTGTTCTTTTTCTCCCTCCTTACGATGGTATGAGGGTATCGTGTCCTGAAGCTACCTTCGGGTTTTTTTAAGAAACAAACAAGGAACTAGGTTTGTATCCACTGCCTACCTCAGCTATGGAACTTGGCGTTAAAATGTAAATATCATCTTACAAACACCTGTAATTCATCTTCTCATTTCCAACCTCTGCCAGAGAGGTAATCTTTCATTAAAAATATATTGTAAATTCTAAGTGAAAAGTCTCAAGAATTCTTGATTACAATAAGCAAACTTGGTGAATCAATAGTCTAGTAAACGAGAATGGGAAATTAATAAAAAGTTTAGAAGTTCAGTACCCAAATAGTCTCCTAATTTCCCGCTCATCTTGCTCAATTAAAAGTAAAATATTGAGGTGAGTTTTAGAAAAGGAATGTTATGAGTAAAATCGAGCAGTTATTTCAGGCATGAGAAATGGGCTGGTTTAGAGACTAACAACATGCTCACTGCTGCAGGACAACAGTAAAGGAAAATCATCTTTTTATCTTGAAAAGCAAATTTACTTTTGCAAGAAAATAATCTTGTGTTTTGGTTGTATTTCATTATTCTTTGCCTGAAATCCATTTTTAACAACTCAGAATCAAAGCAGTACAGACTGGGACTAATGACGATGTCTATCACCAGATGGTATTTTCCAGTTTAAGTCCAATGAGATTAATTACCCATGCCTAAGTATTATCCATTTCTTACAGAGTAGTGGCAATGTGTTCAGTGTTAAATAAATCAAAACATAGGCAAACAAGACACGAGTTCAAGGAGTTCTGATCTAATTACACGAAAACCATAATTTTAAGGTCAAAAACCAACAGCAATCCCTTCCTCAACTGCTACCTTCACCCCAGTCTCCAGCCCTAGACAAATGAAAATAAAAAAGGTGTCGGGAAGAACACTAAGATCTCTTACTTTCAGGTAAAGCATGTATTCTTGGTCCCAGACTTCGAAAGTACACATGTTTCATGGCCTCTTCTGCTGAAACCCTCTTCTTAGATTCGTACTGTGAAAAAGCAAACAAATGCTTCATTAACAACTTCTCTAAATACTATAAAAGGGGGAAGTTAGCACTACTTTTACCTTGATTACTTAGCATAATCACTATCTTTAAAGAAACAATTTGGAGTTACTCCAGATACTCTAATTTGAATTGCTACTGAGATTATATAGTGATGAATATATTTCAATCCCAAATTTCCAAGATAAAGTTGGATTGTAATTAAAAATTTAGATTCACTATATATTTTGAAGTGATAAAAAATTTCTTCATGAACGCTAATGGATCATTAAAAATATACCCCAAACTTTTATGACAGACATTAAATAACCTATTTTATACCCATTTCCCTTTATTTAAGGTGTCCAAGCTTCCGACTCAGACAGATGGGTCATGAATGATGATGGTTCTAAGTTGGGGCTAATTATGAGAATTCTACTCCTCAATTCTCAGGCTCTCTTGCAATGAATGTTTGCACCAACAAGACTTAATTTTGAAAAAGCCTTACAGGGGTTTCTGGAAAAGTCTTTGCTTTCCAGATATAAGAGAATTAATGTGGCTGACATAAACCTTACACTCTCTGTACTTCCTGCTCTGAATGATGATATGAATGGTATTTAGAGTTGCAGCACCCTGTACAGCAATAAGTATAAGGAAGAAAAAGAAAACATGAGAACATGAATTGACATACTATTTGATCAATGCCAGCAGCTGACTACCTGACTGTTCTAGGTTCCAATGAGAGACTTGTCAAATACATTAAGAGAAATCATAGTATTTTTCTACTTAAGCATATGCCTTAAGTATGCTAGATACTACAATAAATAATCTGATTGCCATGACAAATTTTGAAGAAAGCATTACTGATCCCATTATACAGATGAAGAAAACTGAGGCTCAGAGAAGTCACTTAACAATTACAAAATAACATGTAACTTACCTGAAGAAACTTTGTTATCAACTCGATTCCTTCAGAGTCTAACCTAGATACAGCAAAACAACAAGTGGAAGTTTATTCTCCTTTATCTTAGCTAATAGCAACTTTTCAAATAAAACTATTTTCCAAGTGTTTTAATCTGTGAAATACAGTGCCCTAAAATAGCCACTCTTGTTGCTTTCAAATAAACTCAAAATTGTTTTATCCTCAAAAGGCTATTTTTGCTACTTCTTTAAGAAGAAATCATAAATAACTGGGCTTTGATTCAAATTTTTAATATACAAGGAAAAATTATTAAAAATTATAGAATTTTTTAAAATCACCATTCTGTGAGGAACAAGTATGGGGGGGGGGGATGGGGGGGGGGGGGAAAAAAATCACCATTCTGTCTCAAAACAGAGTAACCTCTATTTATGGGGAAAGCTTAAGTAAATTGCATCGATTTTCAAAGTGTTCAACTGAAGGCAAGGGTACAAAAGCATCATTTTCCTAGTACACAGGTGAAAATAAGGCAAAGAGTGACCCCAATACATATTCCTGTGGTGAAGTTAAACAGAAATGAGTCATTTGAAAAAATTTTACAGGGTAGTCTACTGAGTATGGGGTACCAGAAGCTATAAAGTTTAACTTGAATATGTCTTAGTAACTTCATAAAACTTAATTTAAAAGGTCTACAAAATAAATGATACAGTTGATAAAGACAGATAATTACAGTGATGAAATTAATATAACAGGGAGTAGAGAGCTTAGGGATTATCTTAATGGGATAATATCCTGATCAGAAACCACAAGTTCTATCTTACTGCCTTTTATTTGCAAAAGCACAATTATGAATAAAGAATATTTTCCCACCTGAGAGCTCATAGTGAGTATTGTGGGTACTGTGAATGTTGTGGACTAGACATTCCCCAGATTCTTTTAATCATTTGGAGTTTGCCATTCTGACAAATATAGAGAGCTCCATGGACACAGACAAACTCAGGGCTAAGGTCATGAAGAATCTACTTTAAAGAAGAGCTTCAACTTTCTACAATGGACATTACAACAGCAACCAATATATAAATGACAAAAATAGGATTTATGCTACTTGGGAAAAGACACAAAGAGTCCAGCACGTAAGATGATTCTTCCTAAGCAAGTCTACTTAGAACGTCATTAGTTGCTATGGTTACAATAGAACCATTAATTCGCATACACACTTTAAAGATATTTTTGGTATAAGAACTGTGTTGATATTCTTCCAGAGCTACAGAATAAATGAAACTAGAACAGTGTGTTATGCTGTAAGCAATGAAGGGTTTTTGAGTAAAACAGACATTGGCCTCATTTGGTTACATGGTGCCCATTTTATTTGTTTAGAAAAGATGGAAAAATACAAAGAGGTTAGTTATACTATGTTACTTACTAAAATGTAATGCATTCTGCAAGTCAAAATTTAAAGGTCGTCTCAGATGGACCTGAGGGTAGGCCTGAAAAGAAACTTTAACTGAATGGCCAACACTGAGGATATGAGAGGTCAGGGTTTATATTCTTCAAATACAAATCACGTCATTAACTTTGACCAAAACACTGCTGAGTCACCTTTTGTCAGAGTCCATATTTTATTTATAACACCTTGTTAGGTTTTATTAAAATAAGTATAGAATAATAATGCTGTAGAAAGCAAAATGGAAATGTCATCATGGTCTTCACGGCACTGATTAGGCAGAGGTGTCCAACTCACACAGCCTGGGGGCCCCATGCAGCCCAGGATGACTGTGAGCTGCCCAACACACGACTGTAAATTTACTTGAAACACTATGAGAATTTTTTTTGTGATTGTATGTCACAATGCATTTAATGTGTGGCCCAAGACAACTCTTCTTCTTCCAGGGTGGCCCAGAGATGCCAAAAGGTTGGACACCAAGGCATTAATTGTTTCTTTCTGGAAAAGGGAATAATCTACATAAAGTCTGTAATTCTAATACATATGTTCTATGCACACAGCTCAGTTCTGTGGTTCACATACTCTGGTGATCCTTGGCCACTGAATTATAACATTAAATCTGACACAGTAAGGAAGGAGCTCAACTTAAATACTAAAATATTTAAGAATTGTGTATGTGTATTAAAAGAATCATGTAGGTTTTCCCCTTTTTACTCAGAGAAAAAAAAATACCTGGGTGCATGGTTAATTAGAGGCTGTGGTTTGTATTTTGGGAAGTTGTAGTTCTTGAACTCATCATTTGAAGAAATACCTGGCCAAGTTTCCTGAGATGGCGTTCCTGCATAAAAAAATGAATATCTATGAATATGTAAAAATTTATACATGTAAATATATATGTGGGCAGAATTAAAGTGTTTTAAAGAACAATTTACATTTAGTAGATGACTTTTGACTTTCAACTGAAATAGGAATGATGAAATAGTAAACATATGGACTTTTCTATGGACTATGCGATGATGCCATAAAAATGATCGTCCCTAACTCACCTCTACGCTAGAAATATTTCCTATCTAGTTAACATCTAAACTAGAAAGATTTCGTAATAATATGCTAAAGGTCAATTTGCACTTGATCTTAGCCAAAAAGCCAGGAAGTGATAAAGGTCAATTTTCAATAATATTTCTCTTCTCTATTCTTCCACAAAGGTGGAACTCAATAAATGAAAAGGTACTAGAAGGATCTATCTTTATCGTAATTTTGTTAATTATAATTCATATAACATCAGCTCTTTATCTTAATCTCAGTATCAAAGTTTTAAATATATTTTTTAAAGTCAGTCTTAAAAAAAATGTCTAGCTACTCAATTGTTGTTAGATCAATGGGAAAAGGATTTCTTGTTACCTAGCAGTCGGAAAATTAAGTGCAGTTCATCTTCTACAGTTGATCCTGGAAACAGAGGTCTTCCAGAAGCCATTTCAAAGAAAATGCAACCAACACCCCTTTAAAAATATTAAAAATACATAAGAAATGATGAGTAATCCATTTATATGTTGTGATAGCCTCTCTGAAGAACTGTGTACTAGCCTGTTTTCAGAAGGCACCTGCGGAGATCCTAACACTCATCCTGGCTGTCTCGATTTCCACATCGCTACACCCACTCTGCCCACTCCAAATGTCCAGCCCTCCTCTGCATGATCCTTGAAGAATATGACAGCTAATAGTGATTTGATGCTATGTGTTAGTAGTGGGTAGCAGGGATATGGGGAAAAGCAAATGATTCAAGCTGTTTTTATGCAGAAAGCAGAGATAGAACAGGCAGATACAGGTGTGAAGTGTATGAGTGTGGTGTGTGTAAGAGAAGAAAGACGAATGGATGGAGGCTCCCTTCTAGGCTCCCTAGAACGAACTCTCTTCTAGGATTAGTGTGAATACAGTCCACCCATTAAAGGAATCATAATCTAGCAATTGTACATAAAATTTAATTTTATTTTGTAATTATCAAAATATTATATAAAAAGAAAATGGAACCATGATGGAAAACAATATGACAGTTCTTCAAAAAATTTTAAAATAGAATTACCATAGAATCCACCAATTCCACTCCTAAGTATACAGCCAAAGGAACTGAAAGTAAGCCTCAAAGAGGTATTTGTACACCTATGTCCACAGTGGCATTCTTCACAATAGCCAAAAGGTGGAAACAGTGCAAGTGTTCACTGGCAGATGAATGTGTAAATACAATGTTGTACACACATTCAATGACTATTTAGTCTTAAAAGTGAAGGAAATTCTGTCCTGCAAAGCAAAAGGTTGCCAATTTGATGCCCAGTCAGGGCACATGCTTAGGTTGCAGGTTTGGTCCCTGGTGCATACAAGACTCAACCAACTGATGTTATTCTCTCACATCAATGTTTCTCTCTCCTTTATTCTCCCTTCCTCCCATCTCTCTAAAAATAAATAAAGTTTAAAAAAAGTGAAGAAAATTCTGATACATAAAAAAGTCAAATATCTACAACATGGGTCAATTTTGAAGACATTTATGCTAAGCAAAATAGGCCAATCACAAAAGGACTGTATGATTCCGGTGAATAAGGTACTTAGAAAAGTCGAATTCAGAGACAGGAAGTAGAATGATGGCTGTGAGAGGTTAAAGGGAGGAACATACAGGGAGCTGTTTAATGCTACAGAGTTTCAGTTTTGCAAGATGAGAAAGGTTCTGGAAATGGATAGTGGTGATGGTTGTACAACAATGTGAATGTACTTAAATCTAGAAAATTGTACACTTAAAATTGGTTCAAGTCCTGGCTGGTGTAGCTCAGTGGACTGAGCGCAGGCTTGCAAACCAAAGGATTCCCAGTCAGGGCACATGCCCGGGTTGCAGGCCAGTTCCCAGCAGGGGATGCAAGAGAGGCAACCACACATTGATATTTCTCTCCTTCTCTCCTTCCCTTCCCTTCTAAAGATAAATAAATAAAATCTTTTAAAAAACTGGTTAAAATAGTACATTTTAAATTTTACCACAATTTAGAAATAAAGTACAATCTGACAGTAACCAGAGAGGAGGGGGGAGAGATAATAGGGGATAAAGGGGGGCCACCAAGGAACAAGTATGAAGGACACATGGACAAAGCCAAAGGGGGTATTATGGTGGAGTGAAAATGTAGACGACTATGCTTGAACAAAAATTTAAAAAAAAGTTTCAAAAAGAAAATGTTATACAAAATTATATATTTGTTCAACCCAAGACAACAGAAGGAAGTATATGATTTATCACTACATGAAGGCTATAGGCAATTAAATGCAACCACAGTTCAGAGGAGTAAATTGCTATTGCAGGCTGGGCTATGTTGAGGACGGATTTATGAAATACTGTTTTGAAAGTTCCCAGGTAGAGATGCCAGTTAGAGAAACAGAGTAGGCATTCCAGACGGATGCACTGGGTATGAGCATAGGAGCAAAGGTGAGAAAGCCCAGGTTATTTTTGAGATACAATGAACAGCCCATTTAGCTAAATGGAAACATCTGTGTAATCATCTGAGCAAGCTGAAAAAGGTAGTTTAGGGACATTTTAGGGACATCGTTATTAAGTATCCTGTTGTGTCTTATTCTATAGGTAACTGATGGGAAAGGAGCAAAAACATTTGAGTGAAGTGTCAAGATCAAAGTAGTGTGTGAGGAAACAGCTACATTATTTTATTATTTTTAGACCTACTTAAAGCAAGTAGATTTTGGAGAATATTAAATGATAATAAAAATAGTAATTTTGCTTTAAATTACTAGGTACTAGACACTCTATACATTAGCTTTGGCCTTCACATTACCCACAGAACAGCCATTTAAAGTCATTATGGCGCCCTGGCTCGGCAGGCTGGGCACTGCACCACGAAGCGAAGGGCTGCCTGTTCCATTCCCAGTCTGAGCACATGCCTGGGCTGCAGCTTCCATCTCTGGTTGGGGTGCGTACAAAAGACAACCGATAGATGTTTCTCTCTCACACATCAGTGTTTCTCTATTTCTTCCTCCCTTCCCCTCTCTCTAAAAATAAATAAACAAAATCTTTTAAAAAAAGGTCATCTTTGTTACTATTTCCGTGTCCTTAAATGAGGAAAGTAAGGCACAGGCCTATAATTTGAATAAGGTTACTATACCGTAATAATGGTAGAACTGGTATTTAAACCTAGGTGATCTCACCTGCCAGAAATCTTAGTCATTGCTTATACTGTGGCTCTTTAAAATAACATCTCTAAAAGTCAAGTATCTATCAGTATACCCTGTGTTAATAGCTACATTTTTTCAAAATTTTAAATGGCAATAACATTCCCATATATTTACCACATGTCAATCTGTGTTGAGTATTCTGAGGAACCGAGAAGCACATCAGGTGGCCGGTACCACAGTGTGACAACTTCATTTGAGTAGGTCTTTGTGGGAACTGACTTAGCTCTGGCTAGTCCTTTATAGAGAAAAGAAAAGAAGAAATAGCTATAAATGGATTTCCCAGCCATATCCTCACAGTGACTCCAATCACAAGGATGCCTGGATGGCTATTCTGTAGTTTCTTGAAGCTTAGCACAATTAGTTTTACGAATTTTTTAAGTGCACATGGTTTTAGGTCAGTGAATCCTTATGTAATTGAACTAAATAACAGTAATTTCATAATCAGGTATTATAGCTACTTTTATGCATACGAATGCACCTAATACAGTGTCTGGGTTAATTTAAACTTATCCATGAATTGTGATGCCAAAATTATTTCCTAGCTGAACTTAATACAAAAATAGGCCAATGGCATGGAGATAAACCATTTTGCTTCTTACAGGTATAAGCTTCTATCACCTTTTAACCTGATTCCAACTTTCATTTGCTATACCAATTTTTATCAAAAAAGAGAAGTTACTGGTTTCCAGAATCTGTTTATTTTGTTTCTGAAACCTATTTCTTTTTATAATTTCTCAAAAATTACAGCTGACATACTATATTGTATTAGTTTTAGGTGCACAACACAGTGTCTAGATTTGCACTACTTTTGTTTAGTACGATGGCTAACGGAAGTAACTGGAACAATGCTGACACTCTTTTATTTAATTATGAGTTTTACTCCACCATCCCAACTTGGAAAAATTAGTTCAACAAATTATTTGCCTACCAATTTTGGTTAATTAGCAAGATGAGAGCAGCTTTCTGTTCTTTTTTTCCTGATGTTAATAGTGGGCCATATGGGGACAGAGGACAGGGCCACAAGTTTAATGATCCTCTATCCTGCAATTATGAAGGCAACTGCTAGTTACACCTTCCTCACCTACTCCTGAGAGAATTCTGAACTAGTGAGCTTGTTCAAACAGCCTCCTGGTGCACAATTAGAATTTCAGTATTGGCATGAAATTAAATAATAATCTCTTCCAAACCAAATTAATTGTGATATGGTATTATTATATAAGCCTTTGTCTATTAATGAAAATATCTTAGTACTTCCTAAACCTGAATTTAATCGATCACAGAAAAAAGGTAGAATTTTCCCGGGGATCAAGAACAATTTACAGTAAAACATTCAAAGTTGCCTGACCCTCTCCTCTTACTTGCAACCAATAAAAAATAACTAATATGTCCTACTGTACAACCAATAAAATAGAAATAATAGCAACAGAGACAAAATTGATTGTACTGTCCTAAGAGACAATCAGAATTTCTTGTTGGCTTGCTTTGTGGAGATTAGAAACAAAATTTCAAGCACTGACAGTATTCCCATCCCCCATGAAGGTAAATTTTTGACAGGCATTGCCATTCCTTTTTTGAATATCTGATAGCCAAGCTGGGTTTCTCTATTATTGTCATTCATTTTAGGATTAAGAAATAAGAACAGTAAATGCAGTTTGGCCCCCCAAAAATGATGGTGGTGGGATAACAGTTATGAGGAAAATAATAAACCATGGGCAGGAGACTGTATAATCTATGTGAGCCTAAGTAAATACCTTGTAATTTCTTATGTAAACACCTCTGACTGACCCACTTCCTCTTTAAGGAAGGAAATACAAATAGCAACCTACCTTTCAATCAAATGGTAAAGTGTTAAATAAATAAAAGTACAGGAATTTCTAGAACAAATCAACCATTTAATAACAGTGAGTTTTTAATATGTTATTAAAACAGTAAAATGGCTACTATATGGTTTTGCGTCACTGCCCTGATTTATACTGAGACACCAGTAGTTTTACTCCTTGTTGCTTTTGGATCATCAGTGTAAATGTTAACACAGTGAAAATGGAGAATAACATTTAACATAATTTTGATAACATATTATATACCTTTGGATCTTAGGGCTCTATGGATCACTCCTAAGAATGGTGCTTTCAGCATTTATTAACATACTCAACAAAGTTTTTGTCAAATACCTTATCTTGTGGGCTATATAGAAACTTCCCTCACTTATATAAAAGCAATTTCACAGTGTCAACAGTTGCTCTTTTCAACTTAACCACCTGGAACTATCTACAAATAATGCGTTCATCCCATACCAAAATCTGCGAGCTTCAATTCTCCTTTTTCATTAATGAGGAGGTTCTGTGGTTTCAAGTCTCGGTGCAACACTTTTCTTCTGTGGCAATAAGCCAAACCACGTAGAATTTGGTATAAAAACAGCTACAGAAACAAATAAATAGAAGTTAGTCTTACAGATGATAAGATACACTTTGGTATGAGTATCGTAAAGAGAAAAGCACAGGCCTAGAATAGTTGGGAAGAAAAACAGATGTATAAAGCTTTTTCCTTATATAATTTTCTATTTCTTATTCTCATACCATCTATGAAAATACTGAAAATAAAGTGAAATGAAACTGTCTTAGTAACAGTTCACTTGTTATAGAAAATTATTTAAGATAAACATATTCTTATAAACATAGAAGCCTACTAAGGCTTAAAGTTTGTTTATCGAATTCTGGTAAATGACCAATCTACCTCTATTTCTCCTGCTCACCCTCCCCCAAAATGGAAAACCTGATCAGGGACAATGTCATTAAAATAAAGTATTGGAATTGGTGGTAGATTAGGAAAAGTATCGATTGGTGGTAGATTGTGAAAACTCTGAGATGTGAAACAAAATGGGGCTGCACACACAGTTTTGGCAAATTATGTGCTATAAAAATAAACTGAACCAGCTTCTATCACCGACCTTCTGGGTATTTTACTTTTAGCACCTCCTACTCAGCCTACAAAATCTGCTATGATTCAAAAAAGGGAATTGGCCCTGCAGAGCTCTGAATGACTCTCTGGAAGAAGTAATTCCTATAAATCTAATGGTAGACTTTTTGTGTTGATTTTGGTGGAAAAAGGGATGTGAAACATGGGTTTTTGATCCTTTGGGGTTAACAGAAAAAGAGCCTAAAGTACAGAGGACTGAAGAATGTATTCTTGGTTTACTTGCTGGGGAAAAACAGAGCATTAGAACAGCCATTTTCAACCTTTTTTATCTCATGGCACACATAAAGTAATTACTAAAATTCTGCAGAATACCAAAAAATGTATTTTTTGCTGATTTGACAAAAAAAGGTATAATTTTGAACCATTCACACCAGATGGCTATTGTGTTGGCTATTGTCATTTTCTTATTTCACAATCTAAGCGAAAATAGGTCAGTGCCACTAACTAAATAGGTATTAACTACATGTTTTAAAAATTCTTGTGTCACACTGATTGAAAATGGCTGCAGTAGAACATTGAGAATAAGTCAAGGCAGTTAGTAAACAATAGGCCTAAAGAATTTCTAAGCAGCAGAGTTTTTTGCTGTACTACATATTTATGTTTTTTTTTAATATTCTAAAATTAGTACTTTCATACATTCCTGTTACTTTTTATGTTTGGAAAATACAAGCACAGACTTAAATTTGCTACTTAAATAACTATAATACTTTATACTTTAAGCCAGCCATATGGACCTGCCTTAAGAGATATAAACTTCGCCCTGGTGTGGCTCAGTGGACTGAGTGCTGACCTGCAAACCAAAGGATTGCCAGTTCAATTCCCATCAGGGCATATGCCTGGGCTGTGGGCCAGGTCCCCAGAAGGGGGCGTGCAAGAGGCAACCACAAATTGATGTTTCTTTCCTTTTCTCCCTTCTTTCCCCTCTCTCTAAAAATAATAAAATCTAAAAAAAAAAGATATAAACTTCTCAAACCTTTGTCAAATTATAATTAAGGACTTATTTTCTTTCCAAATTATTTTTAATATAAAAGCAGGAAAAACCAAATAAAAACCACAAAGAGAAATATATGCAAATGAGATTCACAACAACCTGCAAAACAAAATGTAAAATAATATGAAGACAATTCTCAAAGAATGTATATGGAAATATACTGGAGGCCCTGTTCTAAAATTTGTAACAATGTGGTATCCAGTATGTTTTGAGCTGTCTTTTAGTAAAAGAAACGGATTCTCTTTTGTATCTACCAGACTCACAATTTTAAAAAAACTTTGAAAGTTACTATCTGCAGAACTGGAACTGTCTCAAACACACAGCCAGGACATCCTATTTCCAGAATATTTTCTTATAAACTGTCATAAGTTTGGATAAATAAGCCTTTGCCAAATTTGGAGTATAACACTTGGGTCAAAGAAACCTTCTGCAGGAACATTTTACTTTTACCTTATTTTGGGTTTTATCCGGCATTGACTATTATGCCAAGCTTTTCTGGCACTACTTGCATCTTTACATATACAGGTAAGAAAACATAACAATTATTTCACTTTTCCTCCTGACAATAAAAAGTGGTATTTCCAGCCTAGTAACATAATACTTGCGCATGTTCCTGGCCTTACTCATTAATTATATTAGTAACTTGAAAATCAGTCAGTGCTTTATAATTATGTTAAGGAAGTTTGCCATTTAAAGACAGCCTTTCACAGAATGCACTACTTATTGGTATTTATTTAAACATTTGGATTTTGATGTAATAGGCTTTTTAGTTCTTTAAATTAGATTACACCTGTAAATGTATTCTTTATCTAAAAGAATCAGTATTATATAATGTGAAATGTTGAAAGTGGTTTTTAAGATTTTTAAAACAAAGCAGGTTCTACAAAAAATGTCTGATCTTAAGAAATACTGTAGTGTAATTAACGGAAGTTCTGAGTAAATGTGTTCAGAGGACAATAACCCATTTAAAACACCAAACAGAAAATTCTGAAGCAGAATAGTTATCAAGATAGAATATTTCATTAAGTAATGTAGTTTGTCTATGCTTAGCATTTGTCTCTGCTTTAAATAAAATTAAAAATTACACATTAAAACATACCTTTACATTGTGCATACTCATGATATTTCCACAATCATCCATGTACTGTTTTAGGTCTTTATCCTGAAAAAACATAGCAATTTACTATGTGATACCCAGTTTTCAGAGGGCATGGCTGATTTACTTAAATAATGTAAATTTTTAAAAAATAAGTTGTTTTTTGAGGAAAGATACTGAACTTAACACACATAATTTAACTTTAAATGCCAATAACTAAGCAATAATGTCCCTGGGCCTGTTAGAAAATCCAATTTGCTATGTTTTATTAAAGCAAAAGTAAATACTGAATTTGTATTAAATGCTTACCAGGTACTCAAAGACCAGAGTCAAAGATTTATCCGTATGAACAATGTCATGTAAGGTAACTATATTTGCATGTTTTAGATCCTTTAATAGTGAAACTGCAAAACAGAAAAGAAAGTCAATTATCTCGTCTGTGGCAGCCAGTCTTTATAACAACCTGAACAAAGTTTAAGATAATTTGACTGAGTTTAACATTCTTTTAACTTTAAAACAAAATTCATCAAGGGGATGTGCAATAGAAATTTTAAGAGTCAATTTTTTTCTTTTATGACTCTGGGTTTGGTATTTTCAATACTTGTAATTGTCCCTAGTATCATAATAATACTCTTCATATTATCTTGCTTTTTTCTCAAATGTTAACTTACTGAGAATTCTAGGATTAATTAAATATGAAGTGCAAGGTGCCTTTTCCCTCCAAATTGCTAATCAGTGTTTCACACCATTTTCTGGATAATCTATCTTTTTAAAAAAATGGTACCATGATAAATATATATTTACAGTCTATAAATAATCATTTATAGTTAGCTTTTCCTGATGTGCCATTATGTAACACTTCCAATGTCAAATATTTGTCTATGACAATGATTTTTAATGAACTTTGTAGTATTTCATCGAAAGTTATACAATAATATAATTTCTATTGACTATTTTGGCTTCAGGTATTAGATTTTTTAAGGCCTAACTAAATGTTCCAATTATCTATTATTTTTTTTACTTACAAAAAATGAACTCATTATGCACCTTTGGTTTTAAAATGTCCTATGTCAATTTTACTCACAAAAGATCAAATTATACCTTCTCTTATAGCTGTGCAGGGAGCACCTTCTTCATGTTCCAACCGGATCTCTTTTAATGCCACCAGATTCTCCGTCAATTTACTTCTCCCTTTATATACTGTAGCATATGTACCCTATAAAACATATTTTTGAAAGACACATCAGAAGTATCATAAGAGTGTATCTTATCTCACCTATACAATAAAGAGCCCTTAACCAAATCTCTAAGTTCTAACTGTATGTCAAATTCTACCTTGCAAGGAAAACTCCACAATGATTAGTCTTGGTTTTCCTACATCTAAAAGGATATTCAGTTACATATGCACAGCTTTATTATTTAAAACCCTACAGAGTGCCTCAAAAGTATGAAAATATAAAAACATTTCAAACTTCCGGCCAAGATGGAGGCGTAGGTAGACACAGTATGCTCCTCGCACAACCAAAAGAAGGACAACAATAACTTTAAAAACAAAAAATAATCAGAACTGACAGAAAATGGAACTGCATGGAAGCCCAACAACCAAGGAGTTAAAGAAGAAACACTGATCCGGACCAGCAGGAGGAACAGAGACAGGCAGCAAGGGGTGGGGACACAGCAAGGCGGCAGCTGGAGGACGGGGGCAGGCAAGGTACTGGCTGGCAGACCAGATGAGTTGGTGGCTTGTGGACTAGGTGGTCCCACATTTGTTTGTGGATATATGAGGAGGAACAACTGGGGAGCGAGACAGACCGAACAACCCAGGGTCCCAGAACCGGGAAATAAAGCCTCAAAACCTCTGAAGGAAAACACCTGTGGGGGTTGAGGCGGCAGTGAGAGAAACTCCTAGCCTCACAGGAGAGTTCATTGGTGGGACCCAGAATGTACACAAGCCCAGCTATCCAGGAATCAGCACCAGAAGGGCCCAACTTGATTATGGGTAGCAGGGGAAGTGACTGAAAACCAGCAGAGAGCCAAACAAGTGACACCGTTCCCTCTCAGATCCTCCCCCACATACAGCCTCACAACAAAGCTATGTGGGTTACCCTACCCTGGTGAATACCTAAGGCTCTGCCCCTTACTATGTAAAAGGTGATCAAGTAAAAAAAAATTGGCCCAAATGAAAGAACAGATCAAAGCTCCAGAAAAAATACAACTAAGCAACCAGGAGATAGCACACCAATCAGATGCACAGTTCAAAACACTGGTTATCAGGATGCTCCAGAAACTCACTGGGTACTTCAACAGCATAAAAAAGACCCAGGCAGCAATGAAGGTCATATTATGTGAAATAAAGAAAAATCTACAGGGAACCAACCATGATGGGAAGGAACCAGGACTCAAATCATGGATTTAGAGCAGAAAGAAGAAAGAAACATTCAACCAGAACAGAATGAAGAAACAAGAAATCAAAAAAATGAGGAGAGGCTTAGGAATCTCCAGGACATCTTTGAACATTCCAACATCCAAATCACAGGGGTGCCAGAAGGAGGAGAGGAAGAAGGAGGAAACTGAAAACTTATTTGAAAACATAATGAAGGAGAACTTCCCCAATCTGGCAGAGGAAATAGACTTTCAGGGAGTCCAGGAAGCTCAGAAGAGTCCCAAAGAAGTTGGACCCAAGGAGGTACACACATTTCTATTTCTATTAGTGCAATAGAAATTTCATTTACATTACCCAAAATGAAAGAGGACAGAATTTTAAAAGCAGCTAGAGAAAAGGAGAGAGTTACCTACAAAGAAGTTCCTGTTAGACTGTCAGCTGATTTCTCAAAAGAGACCTTAGAGGCAAGAGGGGGCTGGAAAGAAGTATTCCAAGTCATGAAAGGCAAGTACCTACACCCAAGATTGCTCTATCCAGCAAAGCTTTCATTTAGAATGGATGGGCAGATAAAGTGCTTTCCAGATAAGGTCAAGTTAAAGGAGTTCATTATCACCAAGCCCTTATATGAAATGTTAAAGGGTCTTATCTAAGAAACAGAAGATCAAAAACTATGAACCATAAAATGACAACAAACAACTATCAACAACTGAACCTGAAAAACAAAAACAAACTAAGGAAACAACTAGAACAGGAACAAAATCACAGAAATGGAGATCACATGGAGGGTTATCAGTGGGGAGGGGGAGAGAAGAAGAGGTTAAGAACAGTTAGGAAATGGAGAAGCCAAAGAACTTATATGTATGACCCATGAACATGAACTATAAAGGGGGGAATGCAGATGGGAGGGGATGTGCAGGGTGGAGGGGAAAGGGGGGAAAATAGAGACAATTGCAATAACATAATCAATAAAATATACTAAAAAAAGTTTAATCATAAAAAATATTTCATTTACTTTTCATTCTTTGTATCAGCTTAACAATGGATAAGTACTTACAGAATCAAAGGTACTTTATCTGCAATAGTATGTGGAGACTGAGGAAGCTAATTGAACATACTAACTACAAATTGAAAATTTAACATTATTAAATTATAAAAATTTTACTGGTTTTCAGAATTTTTAAACATTAACTCTCCTTTCAAAAACAAACATATTCTACAGGAGATTTGTTCTATCATTGCCAGGATAACCCTCAAACTCTGAAGGATTCCTTATTAATTAATTCTTATTTTCTTTACCTTCTCTCACTCTGGGAGGGAGACAACTTCAAAATCAGTAGTAGTAGCAAGGTCTTATTAGCCAAGAATTTCCTTCTGTGACATGTCTTTATCTCAAAATAGTATTTTAATTTTTCACAGGTTTAATGAACTCATGTAATTTCTCATATGACAGTACAGACAGCAGTTCCCAGGAAGCTAGCTAACAGATACCTATTTTGTTACCAAGAAAGAAAGCGCAATATAGGCATAACTCTTCAACTTCAGAACTCGGCAAACCCAATACTCATTGCATTTTGGGGGAAAAAAAAGTTTCTGCACCTGGCCACCCCACAAAAGAAAATATTTCACCCTTCAGTACTCGTTGGTTTTGGCACTAATCACCAGTTCTGGAATGAATTAATGATGAGTACCGAGGTACCACTCTATTTTATGCTTCAATAAAGATTATAAGACTATAGAAAATACTTTTTCTCTCAAAGTGATATGGTAATTTCAAGAATGTTTTCCCTTCTAACATTCTGTTGTCTTTTCAGCAGAAGATAACTTTCAGACAACAGTACTTAGTATTTTTTTCCAGTTGGCAAAAACTGTAGACTAATAGAGAAGTTAAGATGATAAGCAAGAAAAAAAGGTCTGACATTCTAAAATAAGTATTTACTTACCTCTCCAAGCTTTTCCAATTTGATGTAGGTTTCCATTTTTCCAAACCCAATTTCTGACTGAAAGCAAACAATTATAAATTTAGTAGTCTTAAAATTTCAATTCATCTATTCCACAATTTCTGAAACCCTTCTGCTTTGAAGAAGAGTATCTTAGAATAGAAAAAAATTTATTACAATTAAATTTTTGAACATCTGTTAAGCTTTGCAATACACCAAATGTTAGAATATTAAAAGTTCACAATTAACACTGTCAACCCATCTTTTTTACAGATTAATTAACATTATACTATGGAAAAAACCTTTGTTTTATTTTAAGACCCTGAGATTTTAAGATACCAAAGAATTTTATGAAAGATAACATGATTTCTTAACATGATTTTTTCTTTCTTAACAAAACTACAAAATAAATTATTTTTCTATATATTTTCCTTTACTAATCTTCATGTTCCTTAAGAATGCCCTCAAGCAACAAAACAGCATTTGTTTCAGGTTTCCAGCCAAAATATAATGAAAAAGACAACAACTGCAAGTCACACTCTATTATGGATCAGGAAACTGCCGACACAGAAGAAACAATTTAATTCCAAATCAGGTCACCAAAAACAAAGAAGGTTTTAAAAGTAAGTCAAAACCATTGCTTTTAAACTCTGAACTTGTGTGTCTATTTTGGAATCAATAAATGTAGTAAATGAAATGCACTCAAATATGTAATGGAAACCCAATATTTAAAAATGAAAAACAAAAACAAAAAGCCCTAATGTGAAAGATTTTGGAGAAAAAATACAGAGAGATGTAGAGAAATGTAAATTTAGGGAATGAGCGAGGAAAAGTTAAAAAAAAAAGTTAACATACAAAAGAAGAAAATAAGAATTTTCTTAAAATTACTTTCTAGTACTCCTTGCAGATAATGAAAAAGACAATAATAATATATAAAAAAATAGGCTTCCCACTTAGAACGGTGCTAATATCCTTGATCACCAGTGAAAGGAAGTAATGTTCTTTTATAATTAACCTCACCACTAAAAATCGTATCAATTTTGTTGGATCATTAAATAGTATGTTTTAGTCAAATTCTGAAGATTCAAATATGAATTTTTTTCTGGAGATGTTGAATAAAATTTGACAATTAGACTTTTAACATCACTTAGCACACTTTGAATGGGATAAACTGCCTGAAGTTGAATCAAAAATAGCAGAGGCCCCCTCAAAGAAACTGTTTTTATCCTTTTTTTGCCTTTACACTAAAATATATTATGTTACTAAAAAGCCACAAGGAACGCTGCATGTCTGATAGTGCTTAATTAGACTTGGGTAAACTAATAAAAACTGTGGTCACAGGTAGTATCATTGAACAACTGAAAAACTGCTTTCTGCACTCTTTAAGACCTATGTACAGTATTTCAAAAATTTTTAATTAAGGAATGAAGTTTTGGACCTAGGTAGTGTGGCTTGAGTGGAATGAGTAGCTTGGTGGACCTAGCTTGGTGGATTGAATATGGCCTGTGAATCAAAGGGTCACCAGTTTGATTCCCAGTCTAGGGCACATGCCTGGCTTGTGGGCCAGGTCCCCGGTAGGGGGTGCACGGAGAGGCAAACAACACACTGATGTTTCTCTCCCTTCCCCTCCCTCTAAAATAAATAAAATCTTTAAAAAATGAAGTTTTGGAATCATCATAAACCATCCATTCATGTACTATGTTACTTATGACTCACAGATATCAAGTCCTTGCTTTCTATTACTAACAGTTATGCAGAATAATAAAGTAAAACTATAACAGACAACACTTTCCAAATACAAATGGAGTATTTTAACTTTAATATGTAAAATGTAGCAAACAAAATCTGGTATACGAAAGCCTGATTCTGAACAGTCTTAATTTAGGTATGATTTTTACAGCCCATTTACATATAATCTTAAATAACTTAAAGAAAAGGCTAATTTCCAAGGTCACACAAACTCATAGAACATGTTTATTTTCCTATACCTATCTCTGAAATTTGAGTCTTAATTTCACAAATATGAATTTCAGTCTTGTCAGATGTTTTGTGAAGGAAAGACAAGTATATTAAGAATAAATGAACAAACTAGTATGAACAAAACAATGAATATCCCTGAAAAAAACAATTAAAATATCATCTATACGAATGAGAAAACACAAAGAAAAATATGACTGCAAGGTAGGAACTTTTTATTATCATGAGTTGGAATACATTCTTATTCATTTCTTTAAGTGAAAAACAGTAGCATACCCTTAAAACATCAAACACATTTTGGTTCAGGGGTGGCTGTGACAAAAATGCTGAGGTTTGCTTTTAAGGGAGTGTGAAGTATATAAAGTACATATGGAATAAACTGTAAGAGAGGCATCAAAAATTAACATGGCAAGAATCACTCTTCAGAGAATGATAGTGAGATCATTAAAATATGCTGAAAGTTTGCTTTTAAAAAAGAAAGTAAATACTGTACTTAAAGCTAAATTTAAATTTTAATAATTAATCTATAAAATAAACAGCATAACTGAATTCTACCAATGCAGGAAGCCAGACAATTCAGACAAAAGGCAGTTCACAAGTAAACTGTTAGAACCTAATTCAAACAGTAAAGCATACCTACTTCATCACCCATTTTAATAATTTAAAACCCTTAGGATTTAATAGTTATGTCCAAATATTACTAAATCTTTCAATGGAATTTTAAGAAAATTTTGCTTGCATTTTTGTCTGCTGAACATGACAAGATTTACAATAAATATAATGACTAGCTTGTTGACATGCTCTCCTACAGAAATTATTTGAAGGACAGAGGACAAAGCTCATTTATTCAACATTTACCAAGCACAGCGCTAGGTACTGAGGGCACAGTGAAGAAGACAAATAGGATTACTGTTTTTATGAGTTACATCTTAGACTATTTTAGAATATTTTAAAAGTTTCATAAAAACAAAAATAGCTAAAGAAACTGTGTCGCTAAAATACAGTAAGCTATGTATTTTAACGTAATATAACCCCTGCCTTAATTCTGCTTTCTAAAGAAATGAACATACACTTTTCTGATACTTCATTATTCCAAGAGAAACTTGGCTCTTTGGCGGCCCCAAGCAAATTCCTGCTCAGACGGTTCTTACCAGGATAAGCACATAAAAAATCCAAAATAAATAATAATTTATAACAGCCTTCCTATATAACTCAGTGTAACTTGTAAGTGGTATTCAGTGTCATGGGAGACTTTTTGATTACTTTGGCTCTGGCAACATGACTTTATCACAGTTGTCATGATGTATTAACATGCTGGTAATACAGTTCTGAGCTTCAAAATAAAGTCTGTGCAAAAGTTCTTAGATGTCATTCTGAAAGTGAGTGTGCCTATTAGAAACACTCGGGACACAAAGGGAGCTCTTTTCAAACACCCCATTTCCTCCTGTGAGAATTAATTACTGAGATACTGTTGCTGACTGAAGTGTGTTCTTAGCTGTGTGGGGGCAGAAGACAGATTGAGAAGCTCTATTCTACTGGGTCATTTTTTGAAAAAAAAAAAATTGCTGTTACCATCATTATCTTAATCCTGTAATACACCAAAGGTAAACTGAGTTGTGGGCAGACTTGAATCTCATTTTCATACCCAGTAATATACTATTTCTGTAAGATGTCAGGACTTGATACCCTATTTTCTCACCTACTCTTAGAAACAGAAAAGACTATATATATACAATCTATTTCAGTAAAGCCATGAATGAGGAACCCATCACTCACTATTTAGAAAGAACCAGATTCTTAAAATGGTGTATAACCTGTAATTTCAGTATAATGACGAATCTTCATATACGGATTTTCAGTCTACTGAAGTTGCACTTACTAGTTTCAGGAAACTTCCACTGCGTATGTCATTATTGTAATTCAGCGTGGGCTTTCCCCTTAATCTAATGTTAACACTTAGTATATTCCATTTATTATCAAACCTAAATGAGTATTAAATAGCACTTCACCAATCTAATAGCCAGTGTGAGATATGACGACTAAACATAATGAGGTCCAAGATGGGATCCTTGGACAAAAAAGAACCTTAGTAAAAAACTGGGGAAATGTGAATTAAGTGTGGAGTTTAGTTAACAGTAATGTAACAATGTTGGTTCCTTATTTGTGACAATTGTACTAAAGTAATAAAAAATGTTAATAACAGGGATAACTGGGTATGTGGTATATGAGAATTCCATAGTATCTTTTAAAGTTTTCTGTAAATCTAGAACTATTGTTAAGTTAAAAATTTAAATAAGTCAATGGGAAGGATTCAGTTAAGAGGAAGACTGAATACACCTAAGTGTCAGGGATAACAAATACTCTAAGCATCCGAAGAGAATAGAACTGGAAGGTCAATTCCTCAATATTAAAACAAGGAAAAAATAGAATGAGCATAGGTGTAGGTAGATTTGTGCATTTGTTACTCAAGAAATATGGGAGTTTCTGGCTAATGGGTTCTTTCCTACTTATCATGTAGGTAGGAGAAGAGATTATCTGCTTAGAGCAAGAGGGAAAGAGTTAACCAGAGAAAGACAGCAGGGTAACCTCACAATACTGAGGGTCCGTTGGAGGTTTACAATCATAAATTTATAAAAGAACCAATAAGCTATACTGAATGTTTTCTCCACTAGAAATGAATTCTGTGACTTGTTCCTTAATTCCTACCCAAACGAAGGGTTTATGTTATTTTTACTACTCTGCTTATCATACTTTGCTACTATAAATATGAAAAGTCTTCCTCAAAGTATAAAACTTTATGTTTTCAAAGTATCAAGTTTTATACTTTGAGGAAGACAAAACTAAAATTTTGTATTTTATGTTGAAAAAATATTTTATTTTTTAGATAAAGTGTATATTATCCATAAAAACAAACTCTAACACATGTAAACAATATTTTTTCCCATCTCCTTTTCATTTTTCTCTAACCCATTCCTTCATTTACATAAACCTACTGAAGAATACTTTTCTAATATATTTCTAAAGAAACTATGCTTTAGTAGACTAGGTGAATAATAAGAGAGATGAAATGATAGAAATCAAAACACAACTGGCATGATAAATCTGAAATCTGTAGTCATTTTAGGCCCTCTGCCTGTGGGCAGGCTCCCCCGGCTGTGTTTGTTTGGCCGCCCCACAACCGGTAGATAAAAAACAAGAAAGGTGAGCAGGAACACCCAATCACAATAAAAATTCCAATCACTTTTTTTCCCCAAAGATTTTACTTAAATTTTAGAGAGGGAAGGGCAGGGACCTGGCCCACAACCCAGGCATGGATGGGCCCTGACTGGGGATCGAACCAGTGACTCTTTGGTTCACAGCTGGTACTCAATCCACTGAACCACACCAGCCAGGGCAAAATCCCAGTCACTTTTAACATTCATTAGAGGGTACTTTTAACATTCATTAGAGGGTTTTCCTTAATTTCATGTAGACTGTAAAAGATAGCTCTTATAATGATAGCTTTAGGAACTACATGGTGATTGAATCATACTTTTAGTCCCAATCTGAACATTTAGTAAATCCAAAATTTATTCAAAATACCAGTCTTTGATGAAAATTTATAACCCAAACTCTTAACCAATAATCAAATGACAAAATTATTTGAATAAAAATGTATTGCCCTGGCTGGTGTAGCTCAGTGGATTGAGCGTGGGCCTGCGAACCAGAATATCGCAGTTCAATTCCCAGTCAGGGCACATGCCTGGGTTGCAGGCCAGGTCCCAGCAGGGGACGTACAGAGGCAACCATACATTGATATTTCTCTCCCTCTCTCCTTTCCTTCTCCTCTAAAGATAAAGAAATAAAATCTTTAAAAAATGTGTTAAGCAGTGAAACTATGATGATGATAAACCTATACCCAAATCAAGCACTATGCTTTCCACCTTATTGTACATGGTGAATGCCAAATAACAATGTGCTCACATTATATGCAACATAAAGTAATTTTATTCTTTAGAACATGTAACCAAAAACAGAAGTGCTGGTGAGTAAAAACATTCATAACATAATATGTGAAAAGGTGACATAACAACTGCTAGCAACCCAGGAATCCTCACCAACTGCTCCTTCTTCAGACACAAAGTCCGAATGGGCATCACACCCGCTCATTTTCTCTCTCATGCCCCCTAGAATCTATGGTTTACTTTTCGTTCCCACATGACTGGCACGTCATTCCCAATTTTGAATAAATTCCTAATTCGTCTCCTTACCTCTATCTTTTCTCTCTTTCTACTTCATCACTTTCCCTTTCCTGAAGCTATTGTTTGGAACAAAAATGTGATGTCAGCCCTTATTTAAATAAATACCTTTGATGTACTACTGTCACATGGGTTGAATCCAGACTCCTTGGCCTGGCACTGCAGTCTGGATCCACCTTATCCTTTCAAGCCCTATTCTTTAGTATTATTCCACATTTACCCTTTAGATCAGTTATAATGACACCTACATTTATACCTCTGGGTTTAATACATGAAGTTTCTTCTTCTTAGAACTCTTCTACCCATTGTCAACCTGACGAATTCCTACCTATACTCCTTAGAGCCAACTGAAGCAGTACCTCCTCTGTATGCCTGTGATGTGCAAGGACATTTTACAGCACACTGTAGAGACCTCTTCTAGAGGACTACGGGCATCCACAATAAGCCCTCACATAGACAATCACCTGAATTTATGGCAAAGAGGACACTGCAACAGTGAAAGCTGCCCTTTCGATAACCAGTGCTGGGCAAACAGCTACATGCTAGAAGATATCTGCATGTAGCAGCTGTCAGTTACATATCTTCAGACATATAACTGACAAATGTCCTTTATAATGTATAAAAAGTTCCTACCAATCAAGGCAGAATACCCAACAGAAAAGAGACAACAGACCTGAGCAGTTAATTCACAAGAGAATATCTAAATGCCCAATAAGCATCAATAAACATTAAAAAGTGTTCAACTAGCTGTACATCTAAAACTAATCTGAAATATCGACTGTCAAATGTAATTGAAAAATTAAAAAACACAATTTAATTAAAGAATTTTTAAAAAGCATTCATTTTAGGTTATGAAAAGATACAAAATAAAACCACAATGAGATAATACTCACTAGAAAAGTAAAAAAAATTTTAAAAAGGAACAATATCAAAAACAGGCAAGGAGAGCACCTAGAACTACCACGTACTGGTGAAAGTGTAACTTGGTACAGCTACTTTGGAAACTGTTTTGGCAGCACCTGGGGGTGCTGAACAGAGGCACATAATCTTATCCAACACCCCACTCCTAGGCAGGCACCCAAAAGAAATGATTACACGTGTTACCCGAAACACACGTACAGAAATGGTGATAGAAGCTCTGTTTGGTAATAACCAACAACTAAAACAACCCAAATGTAAATGTCCATCAACAGGAGGCTAAAGTATAGCACACTCATTCAATGGAATAACATGACTCTAAGAACAAATGAACACTGCATAACATTCAGCCAAAGAAGCCAACCACGAAAACACGTATTGTATACTATATGTAAAAACATAAATATACATATTTATATACTTGTATTAAATATACTTTAATTATATATTAAGTACATAAAGTTCAAAAGTCTAAATAATAATCAGAAAAACAAAATCAAAAGCATTTTTAAAATACATAAGAATATGCACATGTGAGGATTTTAAAAAGTCTTTCTAGATATTAAAATATACTATAAAGAAAATATAGTCAAAATAGTAGGAAACACATGGGTAAAATTAGTCACTGGCACCGAGGGCAGAGATACGCCCTGGCTGGGTGGTCCGGCTGGCTGGAGCGCTGTCCTGTGCACCAACAGGGTGCAGCTTCCATGCCAGTGAGGAAACATACCTGGGTGTGCGCCCTGGCTGGGGCGCGTGTGAGAGGCAGCCGATCCAAGTTTCTCTCTCACAGCACTGTTTCTCCCTCTCACTAGAACAGGGGTGTCAAACTCATTTTCACCAGGGGCCACATCAGCCTTGCTGTTGCTTTCAAAGGGCTGAATGTAATTTTAGGACTGTATAAATGTAACTGCTCCTTAACAGTTAAGTGAGAGCTCGGTGCTGCCACCAGGTAGAAATAAGGGGCCAAGCCGGATCAAACAAGGTGGAAGGCCAGATTCAACCTGTGGGCCCTGTGTTTGCCACCTATGCTCTAGAATCAGTGAATATATCCTTGGGTAAGGATTTTTTTAAAAAGGGCAGGGATAATGGCTACTGTTGAAGTCGGGGTAGAAAGTAAACAGAAAGGTATGGTGGCAGGAGGGGTTTTCTGGATCTCTGAAATTTTCTTTTATTGATCTTGGTCCTGGATATGCAGCTATGTTAACTGTAAAAAATTATCAAGCTACATAATTATGGTTTATGTACTTTTCTGTATACCTAGTATATACTAATATATATTTGTATATCTAGTGCACATTCTGTATAGCTAGAATATATCAATAAAATTTACCCCAAATTAAATACAACATAGCTTAAATCCTATTCTAATATGCATCTATTTTTAAAATTCTCACCCAAGGACATGTTTTTTAAAAAACTAATTTTAGAGAGAAAGAGAGATGAGGAGGGAGGGAGGAGGTGAGAAAGGAAGGGAGAAGAAGGAAGGGGTGGGAGAGAGAGAGATATAAGAAACATCGATCAGTTGCCTCCCATACAAGCCTGGAATGGAGATCAAACCTGCAACCTGGGTATATGCTCTGACTGGGAATCAAACCCACAACCTTTTGGTGCACAGGACAATGCTCCAACCACTGACCCACCCAGCCAGGGCTCTAATATGCATCTTTAAACCCTTAAAAATGGAAAACAATAAAACCCAGAAAGAAATACAATAGAATTTAGCTATTCAAAAACTAAATACAAGAATTAATATAAAATGTTTACACCCAGAAACATAAAACAAAGCACATCTGATGATATAGGTAAAGGAAACCGAAAACTTACTAAGGAAGCTCTACGAGATCTTCGGCTCATTGGTTGATCAAAAGGTGGACTGTTTATCTGCAACTTCTCAAGATACCCATCAGGTATTCTGATATCTGCAGGCAGTGATAACCTCTTATTTAAATCCTTAAAGAAAAATTATGGTAGGTAAATAAAAATAGAAAGGATAAAGGCATTTGACTTTTGAATTCACCAGCTATCTTATTTCTTAGCGATAACTAAAGTTGCATTGCAGTTGCAAAGTTTTCCTGTTGATTATAACACATTTACTCTAAGCAAAAGCACACGGCCCAGTTTTACAGAAGTGATACTCTGCAACCCAGTTAAACTCAAAGTGGAATTTATCTTGACATTATTGTATCATATAGCAGAAAAAGGCAAAGAGTGCCACAAAATGTGATTGGTTTAAATGAACTGACCAAGTAAATACTGTATGGTAGTGTATATAACACAGTGAGACAACTTAATATTTTATTATTGTTATGTCAATGGACAAAAGTAAGCAAAAGGCATTTTCATTTCATTCCATTATAGAATATGAACTGGGAGAAACATGAAAGGGAATCTTCCTTACATTATCACATCAAGAAACATAAATCCTAGAAAAATAAATCCCTATTATTCATAATAGTAACCAAACCGTGAAACAAAGTTGAGATGTATTGGAACTATATAAGTGTTTGAGAGGTAAATTACTGAACTACAGAAATATATGCCATTTTTCCAAATGGCAAGATTTCATAATAAAAATAGCTCTCCCATATTAGTTTTATATTTTACATAAACCCCAAACAAACCACAATAAGATTTTTCTTGAAACAAAGTATTTAAAATTTATCTAGATGAATATACAGAAATATTCTAAAATAAACCAGAGAATATACGTGTAAGGTGGGGAGATACTGATAAAGAAGTCTTTCTAGATATTGAAATATACAATAAAAAGAATATAATCAAGAGGGTCACCTTTAGAAAAAATTAAATATGGTTCACTGAAGACCAAGAAAGTCTAGATATAGATCTAATAGTAAATAAACAATTTACTTGTTGTTATACAAGTAAGTATAACAACAAAGAAAATTACATACCTGTTTGGTGAAGAAAATTAGGATTAGTTATTTTATTATTATTGTGTCATGTTATACAGTGATATAAACAGATATAGAGTTGATCTTAAGAGATGAAAATGTTAATTTATCAATTAGGAAACTGATATTATCTTCTTTAACTGACTCAGAGGCAAACTTTTACCAATGAAAGTATAATCGTCATTATCTCAAGAGCACCGAAAAAAGTTAATATTCATTTTAAAACATGCTTTATTTCTTTTCAGAGAAAACTATTTCAACCTACATTATATACTGAAATGATAACATTAATAATCAATTTTTGTCATCAAGGTTAGATACAACAGTGACAAAGAAAAAGAAAAGGAGACTTCATTCTTTTACATGGAGAAATAACTTGTACGTGCTACAGAGACGAGTAGTAGATATAATGAACCATAGAGATGATACCCATATTTATCATCGAGGCAAGAAGAAAAAGCTGGTGCTTATTTTATGTATAACTTTTGAAATTTGAAACATTTATAAAATAAAATATAAAGTAAACCAAATGAATCTCAAAAATATAATTAAAATCATATTTTCTAAAAAGAATACTTTGCTAATGTATCATTCTGATTTCCAGAACTTCTGAAAATTCATGTTTCCCTCTCAGAAAACCTACACAGTATTTTGAAAAGTGTTAAATATAATCAACGCATACTTGCTTTGCAATGGTAGATAATTAGAAGAAACAGTCACAAAACTATGCTTCGCTGATACAAACAATTTTCTTACAAGTTTCATGGAAATTTTCAAAGAGGTGTTTAGTCTGTTTGATGCATACATGCATGTGTACATGTACTTATGCACATGTGCGCACACATGCAAACAGGCACATTTATAGTTTTTAATGGTTACCTCCATTGAGATCCGTCTATGTATACGATTTCTCAGACAAACACCTGTAGGTGACTGGACTTCATCAGATGACGTCCCAGAAGCTTGGTCACTCTCACCATCGGATCCCATTTTTAGGTTTTCATGAACAATATCTGCATTAGAAAATGAAACATTTATTGTATAAGAAATGTATCGTACTCTATGTTACATAATTTATTACCAATACAGTTAAGATGTAGATAGCCAACACAAAAAAATCACAGCATAAAAAGTCTTGTACATGCTGGGTACCACAGGTGTACAGTTAATAGGTCAAAACCTAAATGTCTTAAAACACTAGTAAGTAGTCCTTTTATACTCTCAGATTATGAGAAATTATGGGAAAAAAAGCTAACATTCAAGATATTATCAAGGCTGAAGAATAAAATTACAGACTTGGAAATAACAATGAGAATTATTTAAGTCAGTTCTCTCACTCATCAAATCTGGGAACTGAGACCTTAAAAGGTTAAATGACTTTCTAAGGTTACACATCTTGGAGGTGGAGAGAAAACAGAAAGCTGGTCTTTTGCCTTTTATTTAGTTTAGTATTCTTTCCATTAAAATAATGTGCCATTGGCTGCACAACCATATAGCTAGTTCTTTGAATCTTCTTTAGAAACCGCTAACGCAGCTACCCTTCTTCCCAGTATTAACAATAAACCAATTAAGTTAAAAAAAATAGACAAATAATTAAATTACCTAATCTGCTTCCATTTCTGGGCATTGCCATGAAGGAGCCAAGGCTTCCTCCAATAACACTATGTGGTCTCCGCAGTGGGGGCTTCTTGAAGGACCCTGTGTACTGGTGGAGGAAGGAGTGCATACTGTGAGAGGTCGGAGGCCTGCCATTCTTCACAATAGGCTCTGTGGTTCACAGTATCCACACATCATTCCGTTAACAGCCCAAGATCCAGGATCAAATGAGAAGGATTGAGAAAGCAAAACAGAAAACAAAATAAAAGTTAGAACAGAGATCATTACATTTAACCTCATTTATTTGGCAATATACACGAAATACTAGAATTAAAATAATTTCCATGAAAACAGTACTTATAGAAAATATTGTGTTTGAAACTGGTTTAGCAATTATCCATTTCTTATATAATCAGAATTGGTTAACAATCACAAAACTACTTATAACTTACAGATTTTTTACCCATTTGCTTATTTCAATATATCCCAAGATTGTTTCCACACTATTCCTACATTTACTGATGTTTAGGCATGCTGTAGAATATAGAAAACATGGCCCTGGCAAGGAGAAACTGATATCCTTATTTCCTCAATGTTCAAAAAAAGTATGTCAGTTAGTGAATAAAACAGAAATACTGGAGGACAGATCAATGGAGAGGTCCTAAAATTTACTATGTCAAATTTGGAAGTTTTAATATAGTTTTTATTTTTAAAATCATGGATTTATCATCAAGCAAAAGCAGGCTTTAAAAAAATTTTAATTAATTAATTTATTAATTTTTAGAGAGAGGGGAAGGGAGGGAGAAAGAAAGGGAGAGGAACGTCAATGTGTGGTTGCTTCTCACATGCCCCCCCCCTGGGGACCTGGCACGCAACCCAAGCATGTGCCCTGACTGGGAATTAAACTGGTGAACCTTTGGTTCACAGCCCGTGCTCAATCCACTGAGCTACACCAACCAGGGCAGTTTTTAAAATGCTTAAATGTTATTTAATTATAAATAGTGGAAATCCTGTGTTGTAATGTTTACAGGAAATCTCATGACTCCTTTCCACCTTCCAAAAAAAGAGCTCTGATAGAGGACATGATGAAGTCTTTTGTGACACATCATTAGTCTTTCATATTAGAATTATGTTTCTAATGATACAGTCAAAGAATTTAAAAAGGAAGGGGGTTTCTCTGCATCTTCTCCTCTAAAATGAAGCCAGTTCTTCTTTTTTGTAGCTAATAATCAAGAATAGTAAGTATATCACCTGATGAAGGGATTCCACTACCATGTAAAGGTTTATCAGACACCAAATACAAGTTGGTAGGAGTGGGTGGCTCAGATCCACAGAACAAATCAAGGTATAGGCTTAGGGAAAATGAGCCAAGAAGGCTCCCTGGTATGTTCCTCTACTAATGGTTGCCTTAAAAAAGAGAGGAGAGGGAATATGGGGCAAAAGGGTCATCACAGCTCACACAAGGCCCAAGTCATTTAATCTGGGTAGAATGCCAGACTGGAGATAGAGGAAGTACCCAACTAGTTATAGAGAAAATCTGTTCAGTGTTCCATAAACTGTCCTTGGCAGTAGCTGGCTGATCAAGAATTTGGGATCTTTACATCAGCCTAGTAAAAGAATCAACAATTTAATAATGAATGGGGAGGGTTAGCTGGTAAAACTGCATGAATTAGTTACAAAAACTGGGACATGGGCCAGAATACATAAGAAAAATGTTCTCTTTCTAGGTTATAATATCTCTGATCTGGAATAATAAAATATATAAATATTCTGCTTATAATAATATATGTTTTCAATGTTCTATAAAGCTGTCCCAGGAATATACTTTATAGTTCTAGAGAATATAGCTTAAAAAATGAAGATCATAAATACATTCAATTATTCAGGAGATATTTACTATATGAGTACCTTTTGACAAGCAATATCATAGGCTCTGGGCACCAAGAACTGAAAAAAACAAACAAGATACCACCCTTTGAAACTATAAAACCTAATGCAGGGAAAGACAGGTAAGAAAACTAGTGAATAAGAAAAATAACAGATACTGATATGCAATAGGCAAAATATTAAAACAAAGAGATGCAATAGAAAACATGTGAGTAGCTATTTTATACTAGATATTAAGGAAAGTTCTCTCTGCAGAGGTATTTTTAAGAGATACAAATGCAACAAAGAGCCAATCATGGAAAGACGGGTGTGTGGTGGGTTGTAAGATATTCCTGACAGAGAAAAAAGCCAACTGCAAAAGCTGACACATGGCAAAGTTTGACTTGTTCAAGCACTGGTCCTCAAACTTCAGCATGTTTCAGAATGACCTCCAAAGACTTAAAACACAAGATAGCTGGGCCTTGGCCCCAGACTTCCTGACCGAGCAGGTCTGAAATGGAATCCAAATACTTTCATGTCTAACAAATCCCAGGTAATGGTGATGTTGCTGGTCCAGGGATCATACTTTGAGGACCACTGCATTAGAGGAACAGAAAGAAGACAAGTATAGCTGGTAGTACATAATTGTGGGGGGAAATGGTGTTATTAAGTGAGGTCAAAGAGATAAGCAGGTTTGCACATCACTGTAAAAGTTTGAATTTCATTCTGGGATTGGAAACAGTTATGGTAACTTTGAAGCAGACAGTAATACGATCTGATTAATATTTTTAAAAAGTATCAGTCTGAGAAGTTAGGGATAGCAGGAGGTAAAGAGTTAGGAATGAATATAAAAGGAGTATTATGAGAAGGATCTCTGGCAATAGAATAGCTCTCATTACATGAAACTAACCATGTGATGAAATGATACAGAACCGTATTCACACTTTATTCCAAAGGTTATTTCTGGGTTTGATGATATCCTATAGTTACAGAAGATGTAACCAAAGGGGAGAACTGAGAGAAGGGTACCTCTCTCTACTATTTTTTGCAACTTCTTTTGAATCTGTAATCATTAAAAATAAAAATTTAAAACTTCACTCCGGTTACTGCTAGAGAACAGGTGACAGATAATCAACAGAAGGGGAACAGAAGGCTACATGTTACCATACCCTGAGCAATAAATAATGGTGGCCTGGACTACAACAGAGAGAGGCAGGTAGACTTAGGACACGTTACAAAGGCGGAATCAAAAGGCTAGCAAACATGGCTGCAAATTATTTTCACATACACTCCCCAACCCAGCTTTTAGTGAAGTTCTATATTAAAAACATCTATCCAAAAAATATTTTTAAATTTCCAGTAGAGCAACTTTTAAAGATATGAAATATAGTGGGATAAGGTGGCTGAGTAGTTAAGGCGATGGGCTGCTAAAAATATGAAATATGGTATGTGAAAGAATAACTGGAATCAAGTATATATCAAGTATATAAATGGCTATTATTAATAGTGAGTTTTTAGAAGTTATTTATATAGCAAATATATAGCAATCTAGAATGGCAGAGGAGGAGAAGAGAGAACAAAAGGCAAAGGAAAGAAAAGAATCAAGGACAATTCCTGGATTTAGGGAAGTTAAACAAGAAGCGGATTTTAGAAGAAGGAAATAAAAAATTTTGGTTTGGTTATATTACATTTGACATGCCTATTAGACATTCCTTCCTACGCAGAAGCCAAGTAGGCATCTGAACATGAATCTAGACCAGAGACACAGACTGAGGAGCAGTCAGCACGTACATAGTGGCTGAACTCACAGGACTGAAAGTCGCCCAAGGAGAATGTACAGAGAAGAGAACTGGAACCATGAAAGAATCACAAAATATTCTAACATTTTAAGATTATATCTGCATTTAACTGGAGGGCTCAATAAGATAATACAATGCATTTTAAAAAGTAATGGAAACCTTTAAGATATTATATGAGTTGAGATAAGCCAGAGACAAAAGAACAAGTGCTATGGTTCCACTTACATGATGTACCTTGAATAGGTAAATTAATAGACAGGAAGAAATACAGAAGAGCAGTTAGCAGAGAACAAGGAGTAATTGTTTAATGGGTACAGAGTTTTAGTTTGGGATGATGAAAAGGTTCTGGAGATGGATGGTGGTGACAGTTGCACAACAATGTGCAGTACTTAATGCCATTAAAATTGTATACTTCAGAAAGATTAAAACAGTAAATTATGTATACTTTACCATAATATTTTTTAAGCAATGGAAATCTACATGAAAAACAGTAAATCTTACTCTATAAAGTAATGAGTTCCAACTAAGGATTTCCAATGATTTTTTAAAAAGATTTCATTTACTTTGTTTTTAGAGCGAAGGGAAGGGAGGGAGAAAGAGAAAAAGAGAAACAGTGATGTGCAAGAGCTATTTTATAGCAATCGGTTGACTCTTACATGCGTCCAACTAGGGTTGTGCCCTGACTGGGAATCAAACCAGTGACCTTTTGGTTCTCAGGCCAGTGCTCAATCTATTGAGCCACAGCAGCCAGGGCACCAATGATTTTTAACATAGTAATATGCCAATCAGTATAATCATATTGAGAAATTCATCTGACATCTTGCTGATTTTGATCTTCTGATGACGTGAACTATCAAACATACAATTTCTTAGCTCACTCCTTTTCTGGTTCCCAGGCCTCCTGTTTAAAACACTTCCTATTAACCTGATCCTGTTCCAGACCATACATACCTACAATGAAGTCTGTGCTTTCAACCTCATCCTCTCATGGATTTTATGCTGTTGGTAGAAATTAGCACTACTTACAACCCTCTGTCGTCACTATTGTCAAAAACTGACTGCTACTCCTAACTGATCTGCTAACTATGTAGCAGATCAATAGGAAAAAGGATGAAACCTGGAAGTGAGAAAAAAGGCTCACACCGACTGGTGTGGCTCAGTGGGCTGGGCATCGTCTTGCGAACCTGAAAAGTCACCAGTTCGATTCCAGGTCAGGGCACATGCCTGGGTTGCAGGCCAGGTCCCTGGTTGGAGGCATGCGACAGGCAACCGGTTGATATTTCTCTCCCTCCCTTTCTCCTTCTCTTTATATCTCTCTAAAATAAATAAAATTTTTAAGAGAAAAAAAGGTGAAGAATTTCAGTTGTGTCAAAAGAAGTAACTTTTGTTGTAGCTGCACCTGGAACCCCCAAACTGTATATGTATTACAAAACATTATTTTTGCCTTTTTGTGAGTATAATTGTGATATACTCTCTCCCCCATATTTTAAATTCTCACCCATCCTCCACAGCAAATTCAATCATTTCAATGTATCTTCTCATTACAGAGAAAAGTAAGTTCAAGGTTAACTACTTAAAGACAAGCTCCTGAAATGTACCATTCTGTGGTATGTCTCATGTAGCATTAAGACTTATCAGGCAAATTGAGAATCTATGAGGAAAAGGTATTTCTCAGACAGAGTTTTTTTTTTACTAATGTGAAACTCACATAACACTAACCATGTTAAAGTGCATAACTCAGTGAGATCTGGTACACTTACAATGTTGTACAATCATCACTTCACTTCTATCTGGTTCCAAAATACAGCATGTGGCTAAAGTACATTTACAGTCATGTGTATGCGAAACACAGAATTTATTCTTGTATTATTTCTTAATTATTGTATTATTTTCCATACAAACAACTGTAAACCTACTTTTGCCCCATTCTGTATTTTCATCACTACCAAAAGAGACACTGTATCCATTAAGCAGTCACTCCCCATTCTGTCTGCTCCTAAAGCCTTTGCAATCACTGGTCTGTTTTTTGTCTTTATGGATTTAGCTATTCTGGATAGTTCATATTAATGGAGTCATAGAATATGTAACCTTTTGGGTCTGGATTCTTCTAGTTTTCCAGGTTCATCCATATAGTAGCAGGTATCAGTACTTCACTCCTTTTTATGGTTGAATAATATTCCATTCTGGGGACATGCCACATTTTGTTTATATAGTCATCTGCTCATAGACATTTGGGTTGTTTCCACCTTTGGCTATTGTTGAGTAGTGCTGTTCTGAATATAAACATTTGTGTACAAGACTCTGTTGGAATATGTTTCAATTCTTTGGGGTATATCCCTAGAAATAGAATTGCTCAGTCATACGGCAATTTTATTTTTAACTTTTAAAGAATGAGATAAATTAATTTGATAGTTTAAAAATATTAAATATTCAATACCTCCCCAGTTACCAAAAAGATAAATCTGATGTGCTCAGAATTCTTTTTCCTTGCAGGTACCTTAAAGTGTAAGAAAAAGTATTTCTTACGCTTCAATCTAAAAAGTTTTATAATTTGTCCCCTTGTTCTCTATTTCAGTGTCTTTGTTTTTATTCTGCTTGCTTGTTTGTTTTGTTGTTTAGCTTCCTGTTAAAGGTGAGATAATATGGTATTTGTCTTTCAACACCTGGCCTATTTCACTCAGCATAAGGAGAGAGGGAAGGGAATTTAAGGGGAAAAAAGGGGGAGGGATTTGGAGGAACAAATAGGAAGGACACAGGGACGAGAACTAAGGGGGGTGGAAATGGGAGGGAGGTGGGGAGCACGGGGCGGGGGGGCTGGGATGGAAGAAATAGACAAGAAACTGTACTTGAAAATAACTAAGTAAAATTTTTTTAAAAGTTTTATAATTTGTGCAAAATTTTCATTTAGTATTTAGGAAAAGCTGTATTGAGTTAAGGCCAGTATGCTTAAATCAACCAAGTCTGCAAACTGTCAACTTATTTTTAACCTACTAAATATAAATTCTAGATTCCTCTTTACTTCTCAATGTGCAAACACACTAGCTTATCTAGACAGGCACTCTAATGTGAACTATAATTATATCGCCCATTTATAACTGAGTTAAAGCCTACACAGTATGACCCAATTATCAAAATGACAGAGATAATATATCAAATTCTAGTTAGTTGGAGGTAGAACATGTATGAGTAAGAGTATATGTGCATATGTATATAACCAAATACATTATATGCATCATAATTTTCCCAAGATTTTAACAGTATTATCCCCACATATATGTACTTCCCCAATTTGTTCTAGTATGCATGAGAGCCACCCACCTATATGCAACACGAGAATTAACAGGACTGTGCTCATGAATGTAACTGAACAATACACAGGAGGTCAAATATTGGTTCAAAGTCAGTTTACTCAGTGATACTATAAACTAATTCTTCCTCCTCCCTAAGCTAGCATTGCCACTATATAGCAATTAGACAAAGATCACTTGTTTCACATATTGGTTACATCATACATGAGATCATCTAAAAAGTATTCATTAAACCATGTTCAGAAGTGGGCTGTGTGTGTCACCTATCTTAAGAACTTTTTATGCTCTAAGATAAACTCCGTTAAGAAAAAATGTATTGGAACCAACTATTAGGAATTGATAGATGACCAAAAAGGTACAGAATCAAAGCTCTTTTTGAAATTTATGTGCTATTACACATAGTTAATAAGCAATAACAGATCATAACTCAGAGATAGCCTATGCTACCAGCAACCTCTGCAACCCAAGAGATCCAGTGTCTAGTATGACACCTTCAAGTATTATTTCAAGTAACTCAGGTTAAGAGGAAACTCAACAAAGCTCCTACTTTCCTTTTTTATTACCTGTTAAAGTTAGTATTATAATAAAACAAAGTTTTAGCCCTGGCTGGTGTGGCTCAGTGAATTGAATGCTGGCCTGCGAACCAAAGGGTTGAGGGTTGGGTCTCCAGTCGGGGTGTATACATGAGAGGCAACCAATTGATGTTTCTTTCCCTTCTTTCTCCCTCCCTTTCCCTCTATCTAAAAATAAATAGAATCTTTAAAAAAAACTTTTAATAAACAATATGTACTAATTGAAAAAATACTTTCAATATTTCACTACTTTATAAATAAGCATGTTTTACAAGTTAAAACTAAAATATTCCATAAAATATATATGTAATCTAAAAATACTAACAAAAATATAAATGTGTACCAGAAACCATCCCTAAGAGATATACTGTGCTTATTTCACTCCTGCACATCACTGGCAAACAGCTGGCAGGACTCTTTGATCATAAGAATGAACATGAGGGGCTTGATTAATATTAAGAATTCAAAGGGCGTCTAAGAGACAATGAACAATTTTGCTCTGGTAAGAGGAATAAAAGCAAGACATTAAAAAACCATCTTTGAAATTCAACCCAAGTGCAAAAAGTTTCCATCCTAAATATAAAAAAATTAAGACTCACTCATATGATGATCTTTGTTCTCTAATAGTTAACACACAATATAATATTATAAGCTATCAATGAAACCTCAAACAGAAATTTCACAAAATTACTAGCCACTTTTAAGTTGTATTAACTTAATTTATAAGAATAACAAACATACATTATTTTAAAAATAGTTACTTAACAACAAGGATAATATTATACAAGGTATTCTTATTTAAGAACTAACAAAAATGGGAGGCTACATGGAATAGGAGAATTCATCAGGGTTCAAGACTAGGTACAGTAAGCACTTGGAGTAAGAAGGGGACACTGCAATAAGCAAGCAGAAAAGCAAAGCTGTGTAGTCCCGCTTCCTAAGAACTAGGGTCCCAGAGGTTTGAAAAACAAAAGGAAGCTATTAGGAACTAATCAGAAAAATACATTTTCATTCCATTTACACAGTAATCAAACATGTAAAGAATCTTTCCTCCCCTCTCCACTCCCAAATATTTACCATTATCCTTGCTGCTATTTTCTTCAATAGTCATTTGTTCAGCCAATTCAGACAATGACTCATCAATAGTCTGGCTTCCTCGAAGTGTGAGGGACAGCCTTCTCTTAAATTTTTTCATCCTATCTGTTGAATGTGACTTGAAATATCCTAAAAAAAAAAACCAGAACAAAATGAACACAAAATTAAAGCTATAAATACTTTACAGCTCAAGCAAAATGTCATTCTGAGTTTACCAAGAATGTTCAAAATAGAAATATAATGAGGAATTCCCACTTCCACCAAACATCATAAAATCCAACCACTTCCTTAAAAAAATTCACTCTCGCCCTGGCTGGCATAGCTCAGTGGATTGAGTGTGGGCCTGGGAACCAAGCAACCACGGTTCAATTCCCAGTCAGGACACATGCCTGGGTTGCAGGCCAGTTCCCAGCAGGGGACACACGGGAGGCAACCATACATTGATATCTCTCTCCCTCTCTCCTTCCCTTCCCCTCTAAAGATAAATAAAATATTAAAAAAAATTCACCCTCTAGCCCTGACCAGTGTGGCTCAGTTGGTTGAGCATCTTTCCACACAGTGAAAGGCTGCCAGTTCCGCTTGCAGTTGGGGCTGCAGGCTGGGTCCCCAGTCGAGGTGTGTATACGGGAGAGGCAACCACACACTGATGTTCCTCTCCCTCTCTTTCTAACTCTCTTCGCCTCTTTCTAAAAATAAATAAAATATTTTTTAAATCCACTCACTCTGATTAATGTTATATTTATACAGCATCATCAGAAGAGCGGGAACTCTAAAAACTAAAGGTTGAGATTTTGGCATCACAATTAAATTCAGGAGAGGAGATTTTCCTAAAATGTGCTTTTAAAAAAGCTATTAGTGAAAATATCAACACTATTTTATGCATATAAACAGGAATTTTATTTCCTAAGTTCTTATTTAGCCAATATATTAGGGATTTCTTTTTTGCGTTGGTCACCTGTCAGGAATCTCTTCCTATAATCATAACAATGCCAAGCTTCAAAAAGAAGAAATGAAAGCCAAATTAATCGGTATCAAATGCCTATCCCACACTAGACACTTTCAAGTTTAATTCACTTAGTCTTCCTAACTCTAAAAAGGAGACTACACAATTCCAGTTTCACAAATAAGCAAACAGGCTCAAAGAAGTTCCCTGAATGAAGTCAACCAAACAATTAATGATAACTGAGATTTAAAAGTAGGATTACCATTTACCTTCACCCACATTTTAACATCTCTGAAATCAGGATGCATCTTACAATGCAGAGGATGTCAAAATGTAATTTAGCTTTCATCTTCTTTTCTTTTCCCCCACAAACAGGGTGTTAAAGTTCTGAATTTTAAACAGATTCTTGGGCTGGGGTGTTCATATCCATCAACTCATTCAACTTTAGCATCTGTCTCACCCTAAGCAGGTTTTCCAGAACTGCTGCCTTGATCATGAAGTCCCATGAGTTTTCCCAATTGAAACTTGGGCTCCTTTAGCATCTTGACTTTTCTAACAAAGACACCATGGAGCAAATAAATAGACTGGGAAGTCTTTTCTGTCTTTCCCAGTGCTATCTGTATTCGATTTACTGACCACTTCTTTCAGGTCATTTATCGGCACCTCTCAGGTCATGATAAGAGGGAACCCTGCACAGAGAATGTCTATCTCCCTACTCTCCTGAATCTTGACTTCGAGTCTTGATTGACTCAGAAACTGTACAATGCCTTCAAATTCATTTTTTCACTAGCTTTTCAACTAGTTCTCAGCAAGAGCCTCATAGGTCTGATACAAGCTGTCCCATCATAGGCAAACAGAGGTTCAGATGAGTATTAGAAGAGATAATATTCAAGGTCTATCCAGAAGGTATCCAGCCATGTAATATGAAAAAAGAGACATTTAATGAAGAAGATACAAGAAACACTGTACACAGGACAATGACGCCTTAGTCCCTTTCAAAGTAGGCACCTTGTTCTCACTGTTCTCCCAATCGCAATCAGCTGCCATGTTGTATTTCCCTGAATCTCAACAGTTTGAATTTCTTTCCTTGCAAAACTAAAATCACCTTGAATCTGGGCACCAAATACTTAGGAAAAACTTTAATAAAGGAATCACAAGACTTATACACTGAAAACTATAAAATGTTAAAGAAATTTAAAGTTCTACATGAATGCAAGGACATTCTGCATTCATGTACTGGAAGCTTTAACAGTAAGATGGTAATTTATCCAAAGTTATTTACAAACTCAATGCAATCCCTATCAAAGACCCAGTGGTGTTTTCTGCAGAAATTTATTTATATGAAACACCAAAAGACCGTAAATAGCCCAAACAATCTTGAAATAGAATAACAAAAAGTTGGAGGGCTGACATTTCTTGATTTCTAAACTTACCACAAGTTCAGTAATCAAAACATGGTACTGGCATAAGAACAGACATATAGATCAATAACAGAAAACCACAAAACAAACCTTCATATCTACAAATTGAATTTTTTACAAGGATGCCAAGACCATTCAATACAGAAAAGATAGTCTTTTTTAATTAAAAAATGTTTTTATTGTTCAATTAGTTGTCCCCATTTTCCCCCCATTACTCTCCCCTGCCTACCCACCCCACATCTCCCACATTCAGTCCTCCCACTCTTCTCTTTGTCCATGTGTCCCTTTATACATGTTCCTTGATTAGATCCTTCCCTTTCTTTCCCCCATCATCCCTCTCTCCCCTCCCCTCTGGTCACTGTCAGTTTGTTCTTTAGAGAAAAAGACAGTCTTTTCAAAAAATGGTGCTGGGAAAACCAGATACAGCCACCTGAAGAAAGAATGAAATTAGATCCTTCCCTATGCCATATGTAAGAATTAACTCAAAGTGAATCAAAGTCCTAAGTCTAAAATCTACAACTATAAAATTCTTAGAAGAGAAGGAATACTCATAATGTTGAATTTGGTAATGATTTCTTAAATATGGCACCAAAATCACAGGGAACGAAGAAATAGATAAAACAAGACATCATTAAAATAAAATAAAATAAAATAAAATAAAATAAAATAAAATAAAATAAAATAAAATAAAATAAAATAAAATAAAATAAAATAAAATAAACTTTTGTACATCTAGGGACAGTATCAAGAGAGTGAAAAGACAATCCAGAGAATAAAAGAGAATATTTTGTGCAGGGGTGTGGTGGGGTGTGGTACATGAGGAAGCAGAGCTGCAAAATGCTGGGACCGGGACAGCAGATCTAAGAAAAAAACTCTGTCCCCAAGGGGTACAGAGCCTTCACCAAATACAAGGCCATGTTTATTACAGGAAGGAGATTAGGTGAGTGCTTTCTCCAAGGGTGAAAAAAGCCAGAGGCAGGGCTAAGGAGAAAACATCCCAGCTGCTCAAAATCCAAGCAGCTGGGCTGCAAAAAACATCCCTCGCAGTTTTACTAACTGTTGGCTGAACTGTAAAGCATGAAGAGATTGCCTGAGTCCCACAGGTGCTCAGATTCCAAGACCTGATGATGGTAAAATCCTGATTCTGTACTCAAAACATTTGATACCAGTAGTGAACTAAATGTAACTAAAGCTGTAACAGAGTCCTAACCCAAATGAGGCTGTTTTCCTAAAAAGTGAATTTCGGCTTCCCCCTCCTCAACTATGTCATGGTGACCCATTTATGTAAATAAATGTAGCCATCCTTTTAAATAGTAGATGTTTGCTATTCCCTTGTATGGCTGTGCCACGCAGCAGGAATGTTTTATCATACAGAATACTAAGAAAGACACCTATTCAAGGATGAGATTTAAGAAAATAATCTTTCACTGCTTCATCAAAAACCTTTTTTAGGTAAAACTGTTTCTCTCCCTGTAAATGCCATGTAGACAAAGAATGCTATTGCTATGGTCTGAAATGAGCCACTAGTTTTACACACCAGTGCACATGCAAATGTCAAAACAGTTTTAAAAAGAAGGCACATAATGTTTTAGTATTATGAAAATTTAGTCTTGACCTTGTAAGCATCATGAAAAGGTTTTAGGATCATGATCACACTAAGATCTCATAGTAGGTTAGTTTCCGAAACTTCATTCTAATTAACCTATTTATCAAACTGAACATTAATAATTCAATATGGTTAATGGTCAGATATTAATAATAGTAACATAATCATATAATCAAAATTATCAATTGCTGAGCATAGAAGAAAACCAAGTCTGGGGGGGGGGAATGAATTCAGGATTGAAACTACTGGAACAAATTTAAATGAATCTGAAACTCAGAAAACAAGTAAAAGTTTAAAGCGTGGATTTGAGAGTTACATTTACAAAACTGATTGAAGCCAGGAAGAATATATATAATAAGAGGGAAAGTCAGAAGCATGAGAAACATCTACAATAAAGAAGTCATCAAAGCAATTCTAAAAAAAATAGAGAAACAAATAGTGATAAATGAAAGGATGTTAGAGACAATCAGGGCCAACCAATTCATTTTATGGTAAAAAAAAGTTTGAAGAGGCTCAAAAAATGAAGTTATTTGGCTAAGTTTCTGAAAGTAAGAGTCGGGTCTTAAAATTCTACTTTAGAGATCCCAATTCAGTTTTCTTTCCATAGTACCAAATTTCCAGAGAATTAGGAAGCAACTCTTTCCTCTTCTAACTACAGAAGAATTAAAGTCTAGCTATAAGGGACAGATATCAAGGGAAAAAATAACACCTGCATGTCCACTCCTCCAAACCCCGATCCTTTTGCAGTCTTCATCATCCTATAAATGGCATCTCTTACCCTATCTCCCACTCTGGCTGTCTTCCCTTTTTTTACACCCTACTATCAATGCACACCCCAAACTGTAAGCTCCTCCTTCAAATTATATCCAGAGTCTGACCACTTCTTACCATGTGAACTGCTAAAATCCTGATCCAAGCCACATTATATCTTTGCCTAGAATATAACATTTAAGGGCATCCTAACTCGTCTCCTTTCTGGCTTCTATTCAAACATCACTTCCCTGGTCATTTTGTATAAACAGTGAGAGCTCTACACCCAGGTTATACTCAATCTACCTCCCTAACCTATTTTAATTTCCTTCATATCCTTAGTGCTTGACATTCCAAAAAGTGGTTTACTGCCAATTACCCCCACCAGAATTTAATCTCCTTGAAAACA